TTGGGCAACTTCTTCATGTACTTGCTTGTGCCTTCAGGACCTGCTCAGGCCCAATCATGTATATACCACTTCCATTTGATAATGGATTGTTACTGTGCAAATCCAATTTTGTGGCTTGGTGGGTTAGATTATACCTAGCTTGTGACAGGCAGCTCAGGTCACATGGTAACTTGGTGGCCCATTGTCAAATGTTTAGTTTCTACTAAGGCCCAAAAGCAGGCCAAGAGCTAGCTCTCAAAGGGAGAATTAGTTGTTAGCAGATGATGGTAGACCCTTGCTCCAAAATTCCAGGCCTGCCAAAGGCTGCAGATAGCATTCCTATCTGCTACTGACACCTCAAGTACCATTGAGTCTGCTGGATCATGTAGTCCAAGTGGTAGAGCAGCCTGCACAGTAGCCTGGACCTGTTGAAGAGCCTTTTCCTGTTGCAGGCCCCACTCAAAGGTAGCAGCTTTCTGAGACATTTGGTATGTGGATCAGAGTAACACACCCAAGTGAGGTATGTGCTGTCTCCAGAATCTGAATAGGTCAACTAACAGTTGTACTTTTCTCGGTGGTGGGAGGAGTAAGATGCAATAACTTATCCTTCACTTTAGAAGGAATATTTCCACATGTCCCTCACCACTGGATTCCTAAGAATTTCACTGAGGTAGAAGGTTCTTGAATTTTGGTTGGATTTATTTCCCATCTTCTGATGTACATATGTATTACCAATGAGTTCAAAGTGGTTGTTACCTCCCGTTCACTTGGTTCAATTAGCATGATGTTATCAATATAGTGTACCAATGTAAAATTTTGTGGAAGAGACAGATGATCAAGATCCCTTCAAACTCAGTTATGACACAGGGCTGGAGAGTTAATATATCCTCAAGGTAAAATTGTGAAGGTATGCTGTTGGCCTTGCCAACTGAAAATTGCTTCTTATAGACAGGCACTGAGAAAAAGGCATTTGATAGATCAATAGCTGCATTCCATGTGTCAGGACACGTGTTGACCTGCTCAAGTAAGAACACCACATCTGGTACAGCAGCTACAGATAGAGTCACTACTTAATTAAGTTTTTGATAATCAACTGTAATTCTTCATGATCCATCCTCCTTCTGTACTGGCCAGAGAGGAGAGAGTTAAGGGGAGGTGTAGTGGAACCCATCACCCTGCATTTTTCAAGTCCTTGTTGGTGGCACTAATTTCTGCAGTTCCTCCTGGGATGTGATATTGTCTTTGATTCACTATCTTCCTTGATAGAAGATACTCCAATGGCATCCATTTGGCATTTTCAATCATAATAGCCCTCACCTCACAGGTTAGGGAACCAGTGTGAGAATTCTGCCATCTTCTTAGCATATCTATCCCAGTTATACATTCTGGAACTGGGGAAATAGCTATAGGATGAATTTGGGGACTCCTGGACTCACCGTGAGTTGGATTTCATCCAAAACTCCATTGATCACCTGGCTTTCATAAGCAGCCACTTTAATTGGAAGGCCACAATGCTTCTTGGGGTCTCCCGGAATCATCCCCACTTCTGAACCAGTATACACTAGACCCTAGAAAGTCTGATTGTTTCCTGCCCCCAGTGTACAGTTGCCTTTGTAAAAGGTCTTAGGCCCCTCTGGGAAAGGACTAGAGAAAGACTAACCATAAAAATCTTAAGTATTTTATCATGGTCCGTCCTCGGTGGAACCTGGCCATCCCTTCATTCAAGGGCTTCTAGATCTTCAAATGGCTCAAGTCTGGAAATTGGTTCACAGGCTAAGATTCCTTTTCGCCATGATCCAATGGAGTCTTTCTTTAATTTGTTTGGGATTTTTTCTGCTTCTATAGATCAAACAGAAACACAGTAGGCTTCTAAAAAATATATTCCATATTTGGAAACACCATGATTGATTAGCCAGTACCAAAGGTCCATATGAGTCATGGCACCATAAAATCCACTTTGCCTGTGCTGACCATTACAGGTCAGGCCATTATGAACATTGCTTTACGTATGCCGCCTATTACGAAACTATGATCACTTTACATCAGGTGACAGTGCTGTCACCTGGTCCCTGCTACCTCAGGGCCCAGTTTAACCCATTGCATTTAATCTAGCCAAGTGAGCAGCAGCATCTCCAACCCTAAGGTCTGCCACAAAGAAAAGGGTGACAACAAAACTCTTCACATGTTCTGGTGCCTGTGTCATGATTTTGCATGTTACAGCATTAGTGAAGGGCGTGTCTCCTAGACCTTCCCATTGTGGAGAATTAGATCTTATACAGTGCACCCACTCTAGCATTGCAAGTCCCTGAGCCTTAAAATCCCTTCATCAACACTAAGTCGAGGGGTATCAGGCATCTCCAGCTCCTCTTCAGTAGGCCATCTTTTGACAAATGCTTTAGCCAACCATCCAAATAAACTTTTGAGACCTTTCTAAATGTGTGAACTTCTGTATTAAAACTTCCATATAAAAACATAGAATCTCCACTCAGGGGGCCAATATCAATAAACTCAGCTTGATCCAGTTTTATGTTCCTTCCTCCATTATCCCACACCCTTCAAATCCAATCCCACACATATTTCCCAGAGATCTACTTGAATAAATTAGCACACTCATTAAGCTCTTTAGTAGGGTGGTGTACCTACTCATGGACTACACCTTCTGTGTTCCCTCTAGGAGCCTGCCTAGCCTTTAGTCTGGTTCTAGGCCTAAAGACGGCTGTTAGTGAACTCTGAGGGACATCACTTTTGTCTTGCCTGGCATCTCCTTCAGGGAAAGTCACTTCTGCTTTATCAGACAACAAAGGATTATTTTTCCCAGTCACGGGCAGAAAAGGCAATATTTCACGGAGTGGGAGTACATCTGCTGATGGTGGGGAGACTTTTGCATGTGAGAGAAACCCTTGAGAATCTGTGGGTTCAAAGTTTTCAGCTTCAATAGGGTCCTCCCACACATCTCCATCCCAGTTAATGTCTTTACTTTATCTGACACCCTCTGAGGCTGGGACTTGAATTTTTGAATCCCCTAGGTGATGGTATGGGGAGGTGTGGGATCTGTGGATATGATTAAATTGTAAGAGCTTAACCTTCATGATTATGATCCTGCTTTTACAAAAGACGTTCCAGAGAACTAGCCCATCCCTTTCCTGTGTGAACAAATATGTAAAGTCTTCATCTGTGAACCAGAAGATGGGCATCCATTAGGTGTGCATCTGAGTATTTTGACTGTAGTCTGTACAGCTGCCGGAACTGAGAGAAATTCTGTTGTTAGAGTTAGTATATTATCTTTCTTGCTTATCATAAAGGTCACAGCTGACACAGACCTGTAACTAAAGCCAGATTGTGAAGAGAGAAGTGTGACACATTTACTCAGTTTCACATGACCCAGGAAGCTTCAGAAACGAAGACCCAAATCCTAGGGAACACCATTCATTCCTATGCTCAAGTTTGATGAAGAGTTGACACCCATGAAGACGAGTGATTGGACACAAAAAGGCTGACTTAATAATAACAGAGAATAGAAACCTGTAAGGCCTATCACTCAAGATTCTTCTTGGACTCTCTATGTAGCATTCTTTCCTGTCAGGTATGAGGCAAGACCCCTTGTAAATTGAGTGTGAATTCCATAGTCTATATCAAACAAGAGAGATCAGAAAGTTTCTTTGATAGCCAGCTCTTACATAAAACTCTAAGTTTATTTCTAGACTCTATGGTTGACTGTATAGAAGAAGGTTCTAGTTTCATGATCTGTGGTGAAGAAGAATTTCAGTTTCTGTGATCCACTGTGTGGAAGAGATGACAGTAAAAGGAATGCAGGCAGGAGAAGGTCAGAGGAAAACCTTTCTCCTGAGTATTGCTCTCCTCAAAGTGCTCTCAACTATCTGGCGGGGGTATTTTATTACAGCAACTTAAACTGACTCAGTAGGGAGGATTTCCTTCTTTCCTCTGCCCTCTGCAGTGCCGAGTGTCCAAGTCAGGGCTGTGTGGGTGCTAGGCAGGCAGGCGTTCTACCAGTGAGCTGAAGTTTCAGAGAGTTTTTTTTTTTTTCCTTCAAGACAGGGTTTCTCTATGTAGCTTTGCACCTTTCTTGGAACTCACTTGGTAGCCCAGGCTGGCCTCAAACTCACAGAGATCCGCCTGTCTCTGCCTCTCGAGTGCTGGGATTAAAGGTGTGCGCCACCACCGCCTGGCTAGACCTTGATGTTTTTAGAGTCATGTTCCTGCCATGTTGCTCAGAGTACTTCTGAACAACTCTGTAGGATAAAGTGACCTCAAACTCATGGTCTTCCTGCCTCAGTAGCCAATGATTGGAATTATAGGTGTGTGCCATATGCCTAGTGCTGAGATAACTGGTATATTAATGCAGTCGGAGTTGCTCTAGCAAATACTCCACAGTTCCTTAGAACCTGAGGAGATTGATGTCTTCTGTCTGTTCTGGAGTATATCACCAGAATGTTGAAATGTAAAGGAAAGCAAAGGAAATGGAGTTGTTGACCAAGAATGTTGTTAATTGATGAGAATGGTTCAGTAATATGGTTTTTCTAATGAATTCCTTCATTTTTGCTTATCTCAGATTTATTTGTCTAAGTTATTAAGTTTGGGTTTTTTTTTTTTTTTTTTTTTTGGTTTTTTGAGACAGGGTTTCTCTGTGTAGCTTTGTACCTTTCCTGGAACTCACTCTGTCGTCCAGGCTGGCCTCAAACACACAGAGATCCGCCTGCCTCTGCCTCCCAAGTGCTGAGATTAAAGGCGTAGCTGGAGGGATAGCTCAGCCATTAAAGGCTAGGCTCACAACCAAAAATATAATTATTATAATAGTTTTTATTGCATTTTGGATTTCCTAAGAAATTTATGTGAAATATTACTATAAATGCTTTAAAACATTTTCATGTTTTCAGAAAATAATACAGATAGGTAAATTTTAGATTTTAATTTCAAACTTTCAATAACAATGGCAATCATATTAGAAATGGTCTGTTTTCTCTAATAACTAACTGTATGTTTCTTTCTGTCTATCTTTTTAGGACCAGGGTTCTGATAAAGCAGGAGAGAAGAAAGCAGAAGGTAAGGGCATTGTCATTTGAGTGATGCTAGCCTGTAATAGCAAATGTAACAATCAACTCCTGAATCACTCCTTGTCATTAATAGATTCACCTCATGGCCAGCTAGAGTGGCTCACTGCTGTGATTGTAGCTTAGCCCAGGAAGATTGCCACATGTTCAAGCCCAGCCTGGGCTGCAGAGTGAGTTCCAGGTCATCCAGACCTCCATAGGAAGACCCTAGGAGACAAAAATCTCAAAGTAGACTTCCTGTTCCTCTGGCTCTTACAATCTTTCTGTCTCCTCTTCTGCTGTGATCCCCGAGACTTGGGTGCAGGAATTGTGTTGCAGATGTATCAGTTGAAGCTGGACAGCACATGGGCCCTTGTTCTCTGCATTTTGATTGATTGTGGTTTTCTGTAATGGTCTCTGTCTGTTACAAGGAGATATTTTTGGATGAAGGGCCTTTATCTAATATTAAAAGTTGTTTGTAATTGACAATATTCTGAGATGTATTGCCTTAATATTCTGAAAACATAAGTAACTACTTGCATATGTGACCTCTTGAACTTTTTCTTTTGGCCATTTTGAACTTTTCTGTTTGAACAACTCATTTGTATGTAATCTTATTCCACTATGTTATGAAATACTTAATGGAAGATGTTTTGAAGATAATCTGTTACAGTGTCAAGGGTCTAATAGCAGATAAAAAAATTAAAATGAATGAACGTCTTAAAACATAGTTAAAACACATCACGATACAGGTGTAGGCGAGGACATTTTGACAGTGTCCAGCAGCACAGTAAGTAACGTCAGGGATTGACAAATAGGATTACAATAAGTAAATGACTTCTTCAAAGATGGGGAAACAACATTTAAATGAAGAGACAGGCTACAGATGGGAGACAGCCTTGCCAACTAGATATCTAGTGGAAGATAACTATCTCTAGCATGTAAAGAACTGCAAAAAATTAAACCCCAGAAAACAAGTCACATAATCAATAAATGGAGTAATGAATTGGATAAACAGTTTTCAAAAGAAATATTTGGTCAATAGACTCTTGGAAAAATGCTCAGCATTAGCCGTCAGGGAAGTACAAATCAAAAGCATGTTAAGATTCTGTCTCAGCTGGGTTTGGAAGACACATCTGTAATAACAGCATTCAGAAGGTTTGCTCAGGATTGCCATGAATTCAAAGCCTGGACTGGGATGAATAATGAGTTCTAGGTTAGCCTAAGGTACAGAGTGAGACCCTGTCTCAAAAAAAAAATCAATTCATCTCATCCCAGTGAGAAGGACTTATATCAAGAAAATTAATAACAAATGCTTGCCAGGATACAGAAAAAAATACCCCTTATGCCAGTAAATGGGAGTTCGGTCACTATGGAACCCAGTGTGAAGGCTACTCAAAAAACTAAAACTAGAACTACTACATGGCCCAACTGTATCATGTTTGGATATATATCTAAAGGACTCTTAAGTTAATGCAATGATTCTCAACCTTTCTAATGCTGCTGCGACCCTTTAATACAGTCCCAATAAAATTATTTTTGTTGCTACTTCATAACTGTAATTTTGGTACTGTTAGGAATCATAATGTAAATCTCTGTGTTTTTCAATGGTCTTAGGTGACTCCTGTGAGCCCAAGGGGGTTGCAACCCACAGGTTGAGAATTGTCGAGTTAATGTTTCACAGAGACACTTGCACAGCCATGTTTATAGCTACACTATTCATGACAGCTCAGAATGGGATCAGTCTGCATGTTCACAATCATCAGAAGAATGGATAGAGAAAATATACACATGGGATTTTATTGAGCTATAAAGATGTGAAATCAGCCAGGCAGTGGTAGCACAAGCCTTTAATACACACTTGGGAGGCAGAGGCAGACAGATCTCTGAGTTCGAGGCCAGCCTGGTCTACAAAATGAGTTCCAGGACAGCAAGGACTAAACAGAGAAACCCTGTCTTGAAAAACCAAAATAAATAAATAAATAAAATAAAATAAATAAAAAAAAATGTCATTTACAGGTAAGCTGGTGGAACTGGAAATAATGAAATGAAATAAGCCAGACTAGAAAAGACAAATACTGCATGTTTTCTTCCATGTATTGAACCTATATTTAAAACTATAAATAAACATGACATAATTATATATGGTATATATTGTGTGTGCAGGTCTTGAAATAGGAGATCACGAGAAGCTGGGAGATAGCTCTCGGGAGCAGGGAAAAGAGGGGATGATGAAATCAGAACTCAGATTAGGGGGAGGAAGGAAGAGGTCAGAGTCGGGAGTGGTGTGGGAAGTGGCATCTGGAGAGGAGAGGTGAAGGGAACAATTAAAGTTAGAATGACACTTCTACATGACAGTGCAATAATAAAACTCATTGTTTGGTAAGAAGCCTGGAGATACGGTCCAGTGTTTCAGAGCATGAGCTTCCCTGTAGAGGACCTGAGTGTGCTCTGGGCGCCCTCATCAGATGCCTGCAGCTCAGTAGATCCAACACTCTTATGGACTCCACGGGTACACTCACTCACATATGCACTCCCACACGAAAACAAAAGAAATATTTTTTAAAAATTAAGATGTCTTTGAATTTAGCAAGTTAAAGATGTGACTAAAAACTGAAGAATAATTATAGTTCAGAAACCCAGGAAGAAAATATAAACTGGATATATGTTGATATATATGTGTGTTTGGTTTATAGTCAACATTAAGCATTGTGATACAGTGAGTTAAATTAGCATTGGTTGCAAGTTAGTTCTCACATAGCTTTTGCTTTCCTGTTAATTGGTTCTACAATTTTATTGTTAGTGTTGATGTGTGTATATGTGCACGTGTGTGTGTGTGTGTGTGTGTGTGTGTGTGTGTGTGTGTGTGTGTATGTGCATGCCTGCACACACGCGCACATGTACATGTGTGAGTGGGGATGCACATGTATCACAGCATGCCTGTGGAGGTCAAAAAAAGACTTGGTTATCTCCTGCTAAGGGTTCAGGGGATCGAACTGAGGTCATCTGGCTTGAATCTCTGTGCTGTTTCACTGCCCTCCTCTTGATTTTTCAGTAGGCACTTGGCTATATCTTTTGAGATTTTTTAAATATACGGTGGTATGTAATTTATCATAGAAAAGTTTTTGAGCTGCAGATTTCAGTCTTTAGGCAAGCTGCAAGCCATCAGAATTGATTTCAGTTCCCATGTAAATGTTGTCACAAGTGTGAAAAGTCAATGGTATAGCGACTTGAGTGCATTTATTGTTTATGATTCTGCCTTGAACTGTTAGGTTGGGAAATTAATGTTTTTAATTCTTAATTATTGTAGGAATACTTTGAAAAGAACAAGTTAAAGTCAAAAATGAAATTACTAGGAGTTTTTTCACCTGTCAAGAATACCACTGCCAGCTTAGACCTTCTTAATCTATATATGGTAAATCAGATATCATCCAAGAAGGAAACACCCGGTAAGTCTTTCTAAGGCATTTGTTTTTATCTTTTTTTTTTTTTTTTTTTTTTTGGTTTTTTTTCAAGACAGGGTTTCTCTGTGTAGCTTTGCGCCTTTCCTGGAACTCGCTTTGGAGACCAGGCTGGCCTCGAACTCACAGAGATCCACCTGGCTCTGCCTCCCAAGTGCTGGGATTAAAGGCGTGCGCCACCACCGCCCGGCTTGTTTTTATCTTTATGTGGTAAATCATAATAACATCTAGCTGTCTAATTGCTTAGAAATTCCAGAACTCTAAGCATATGGAGAATTTATTTTAAAACTTTGTTGCCTTTTTAAATTATAAGCTTAACCAGAATTTGAATTAAGATCTTTTGTTGTTTTATTTATTTATCTCATTTTTAAGCTGTGTGTGTTGTATAAGATTAACTTGTTTGATATCATTAATTGGTCATGGAGTTATTATAATTATTATATTATTATTTCTAGGCAAATAGTCCCAAGTTTAGCGTGAGAGAAGAAAATAATGAATGTGTTATTATTTCATATCACTTGGGAAATTTGTACCGAAGGAAAAACTGAGAGATTTTTTTTCTTGGTGACTTTTTCCTGTCTTGCAATTAGAATTTCTTTTACACTTCTGGGATAGGAACTGTAAGAGTTTTGTACTTCTAAAGAAAGTTTATTTTGTCTCACAGTTTGACTTTCCAACCAAAAAAACTTTCCCTCTCTAAAGGGAACTAGGGCCTATTATTTATATTTTAAAAACAAGCATAAAAGTAAGAGTTCAAAAAATAAGACAGTTTGGGGCCAGAGAGGTGGCTCAGGAGTAAAGAGATGGTTGTACAGAAAGAGAAAATCCCACTAGAACTCTGTAGGTTCTATAGGGTATTGAGTAACAAAACAGTGATCCCACCTGCATAAAAAGATACAAGGCTCCTTCCTCTAAAGCAATGGTTCTCAACCTTCCTAAAGCTGCAGTTGAATACAATTCCTCATGTTGTGGTGACCCCAATCATAAGATTATTTCATTGCTACATTGTAACTGTAATTTTTCCACTGTTATGAATCGTAATGTAAATATCTATGTTTTCCGATAGTCCTAGGAGACAACTGTGGAAGGGCTGTTTGACCCCCAAATGGGTCGTGACCCACAGGTTAAGAACCACTAAAGTTTAAAGTCTCATCTAGGAGATGAGGTTAATCAAGTGTAGTAAAGTGTGCAAAGTGCTGAAATAGAGAAAACATATAGTGCTATGAGACTGTGTAACACAGTATCTGATACAGTCTAGTAACTGAGAAAGAAGAAATTAGGTTGAGTTAGTAGAGCCCTTTCTTTCTTTTTTTTTTCTTTTTTTTTTTTGGTTTTTCGAGACAGGGTTTCTCTGTGTAGCTTTGCGCCTTTCCTGGAACTCGCTTTGGAGACCAGGCTGGCCTCGAACTCACAGAGATCCGCCTGGCTCTGCCTCCCGAGTGCTGGGATTAAAGGCGTGCGCCACCACTGCCTGGCATAGAGCCCTTTCTTTCTTTTTTTTTTTTTTTTTTGGTTTTTTCGAGACAGGGTTTCTCTGTGTAGCTTTGCGCCTTTCCTGGAACTCACTTGGTAGCCCAGGCTGGCCTCGAACTCACAGAGATCCGCCTGGCTCTGCCTCCCGAGTGCTGGGATTAAAGGCGTGCGCCACCACCGCCCGGCTAGAGCCCTTTCTTGATGGCTTAAGAAGCAGGAGAGAAAAAATTAAATATCACTAATAATTGTTAGCAGCCAGTTTCTGCAATAACATGTATAGAACATTTGTAATGTACAGAAGAACATTTTCATATGTTCAAGCAACTGAAGAATGATATAGCAAAAATGATTTTAAAGCTTCTGTTTAAAAGTCACTGTTTAACATTTTTATTATAGAAACCATGAAAAGACCAACTTATGTGAATATGAACAGAGATTTGAAAATCCCACTAAGAAAGCATGAGTTAGAACTTCCAATGTCACCTCACTGTGTCCCTTCTAAACTGTGCATCGATGACATGGGAAAGAAGTAAGTGTCAGCTAAGACAGTGACTGACTGATGAAAGTTAACACTATCAGCTTGCTGTGTGTTGGGAAGTAGAGAAGGCCATTCCCTTCCAGCCCCATTCCTGCTTGTCTGCTGGTATCATGAATCATTAGGACACGTGTCTACAGTGTTATGCATGTCCTTTGACATCCTGTATCAGACAACGCCTATCCCAGTTCAATACAATTTCTTTCCTAAAACTTACTTGTCTTATGACCCTGTAGCAATGTACCAGAGTTTTCTATGTTGAGTGCTTGTGAGGACACTGTGAAATTTAAATATACATAGGACAATATTTGTGGCTGCTTGAATTTTTACTTCAAGTTTTGGTTTTCTATAGTGTACCCTATCAAAGATTATGTAGCAAGGAAGAAACTGGCCCAGTTCAGGTGAGTTTTAAAGAAAATTACAAGTTATTTTAATAATTGTTCCATGCCCTTAGATGATCTCACTTTTAAAATACTAGGTAAAATTAGTTATCTTTAAATTTTTTAGTTTCTCAATGATTCCTTTTGCAGTTTTAAAATGTAAGAAATTTACTCCAAAGGAATATTCTGATTATGAAGCTTCCTTGGAGTGATAGCAACATGGCCAGCCCTGTGTGTTTAATGCTCGATTCTTGTCAAAGAGTTACAAAGCACACTTACATAGAGATTGTTTTTAAGTACTTATTCATTTATTTGTGTGAGTGTGCTGTCCAATGCTGTATTAATTATTCTTATTTATCTTTGAATTGTCAGGTTTAAATTAGATCAGAAAGGCAGTGGAAGCTGATGGTAGTAATGAAAAACCTTGGACAGCCTGTTGTCTGCTTTATGGGTTAAAGAACCAAAGACTTCCTGTCATTAGAAGGTGACCCTCAGGAAAGAACTTGAGAGAGGAAGGCAGATAGGAAAAGCAGAGGGAAGAGTTCTTAGGAGACAACCTCAGTAGAGAACCTCACCGACTCAGTGACTCCTATGATCTACCAAAGGCTTGCCTTTCTTAGGACTTCCTCTTTTGTAATCATGCCCCTTTTCTACCCACTTTAGTTCTATTATTTTGACTTCTAGTTTCTGTACTTTTAGTGATCTTACCTTTTCTTTTCCTATAGTCATCACAAGACATGAACTCATACAGAATGTTCCACAAAACAGAAAACTACAGTTATATTCCACCATCTTTTCCAGCAGAATTATCTTCTAACAGACATATTCCAAACCAAAACTCCACCCCAAGAATAGCACCAAGTCCTTGGAAATGTGCATATGAGAAAAAACAAAATGAGCAGGTACATTGGAATTATCGTTTCTTTGATGTTATGTATTCATAATAGGTTCTCCTTTTCATAAGTGTGACAAAGATGGGTTTCAAATTGCTAAGTGTGGTGATAAATGAAGGATAGCATTTCATCTTATGCCCCATTCTTTATTCCCCTCCCCATTTTAACCTCCCATTCAGGTTGCTCCCTCTCTCTCTTTAACTATGCATTCTATTTTTCTTTCCTTGGGAGATCCTCCTCTCCATATAATCCCTTATTTTACACCTAACCTCTGTGGCTATATAGATTATAGTATGCCTGTCAAAATCTTAAAAGCTGACATCCACATAATAAAAGAAGACAATATTTTCTTTTTGTGTCTGGGTTATCTCACTCAGGATGTTTTTCTAGCTCCATCCATTAACCCGTGAATTTTATAATTTCATGTTTTTAAATAGCTGAATAATGTTGCATTGTGTAAATGTACCACATTTTCTTTATCCATTCATCAGCTGATGGACATTTAGGTTACTTTTAACTTATGGCTATTATCAATAACATAGTAATGAACATGGATGAGCAAGTTTCCTTGTGGTAGGATGTACAGTCCTTTGGGTACATGCCTAAGAGTGGTAAACTTGGATCTTGAGGTAGATCTATTCCTAACTTCCTGAGGAACTCCTACACTGATTTCCAAGTGGCTGTACATGTTTGCATTTCCACCAGCAGTGGAAAAGTATTTCCCTTTCCCCACACCCTCACCACCATGAGTCGTAATTTGTTTTATTAATCTGGCCATTCTGACTAGTGTAAATTGTTTTGATTTTTATTTCCTTGATGACCAAGGATGTTGACCATTTCCTTGTTTCTGTGATTTGTGTCTCATCTTTTGCAAACTGTTTAGTTCTGTTCCCCCTTTTAATTGGGTTATATTTTTTTCTTGATGTTCAGTTTTTTTAATTCTTTATACATTTTAGATATTTGCCCTCTATCAGATGAATAATTGTATAAAGCTTGTAGCTAGAGTTTTCCTGCCTGGCCCACAGTCAGGACAAATCTCTCTCACGTGCCAGTCCCACAGCCACTCAGACCCGACCAAGTAAACACAGAGACTTATATTGGTTACAAACTGTATGGCCGTGGCAGGCTTCTTGCTAACTGTTCTTATAGCTTAAATTAATCCATTTCTATAAATCTATACCTTGCCACATGGCTCGTGGCTTACCGGCATCTTCACATCCTGTTTGTCATCGTGGTGGCTGGCAGTGTCTCTCTGACTCAGCCTTCCACTTCCCAGCTTTATTCTCCTCCTTGTCCCGCCTACACTTCCTGCCTAGCCAATGGCCAATCAGTGTTTTATTTATTGACCAATCAGCAACACATTTGACATACAGAACATCCCACAGCACTTCCCCTTTTCTTTTTTTTTTTCAAAAAGGAAGGTTTTAACCTTAACAAAGTAAAATTACATATAATTTGGGAATTTGGGCGTAGCTTCTCTTACTACTTCCTGCTGGAGGGGGGCGCTGTATCTTATGGGGACACAAAGAAAATTTTAGGATTATGGAGTAGTCCGTGAGGGTGTATCGTCTGAGCCAGTCACCTTGAAACGGTTCTGGATGTTGGATCATCTGGGCCACGGTGTCATCGGAGACCTTTCAGGGGGTCTTGTCTGGTCAAACCTGATGTATCTTAATCTGGAACAAATCCATAGCCTCTGGCTTTCTGTGGGAACAAAAGAGACTCTTTTCCAAAGCAACATATCCTTATATCCAAATTTTGAAGTCAAGGTACCTTTAAAATATACATGTTGGCATAACTCAACAGCTTTTACAATCAAATGTTTTTTTGCAGTTAAAAATCCCAAAGACAACATAATCCAGATTCTCTGTGTAGTATTCATCTTCACGTGGCTTATTTTATATATTAATTTTACTGTCTCTTTAAAGACTTCATTTTTTAAAACTATGTATTTGTTTCTATAACTGTATATATCACCTTTTTTGTCTCTTTCAAGCCTACGTATATTTTACACACATTGTAAACTATTACATCTGAATCTGTCTTATTGTGAATCTGTTGCTTTAAACTGCAGCAGCTGTGGCTGCTGGCTCTGCCCACCTCAGCTCCCCAACATGGTGGTGGTAGTTTACCGCCAGCTCTGGGAGCTATCGTGGGTCTATGGTTTTATCCAAGCAGCGTGTAGCCCAAAAACCTTTTTTTTTGTTTTGTGCTAGCAAAGGCTAGAATAAAATCTTTAACACGGAGAGTTATCAATGATCAGTGTTTATTGATTATGATTATTTTGTTGGTATGGAGTGAATTTCCCCCCATTTTGATTTAGTGGTCTTGGAATATTTATTCCTTGTTTTTTCTTGGGTGTAGATAACCTCTTTAGATTGAAGTTTTTCTTTTAGTGCCTTCTGTAGAGATGGATTTGTAGATTGTAGATACTACTTAACTTTGCTTATTATGTTGTTTTTTATTTTGGAATAAAATATTTAGGAATAAAATATTTTAAAATGTTTTTCTTTCTTCATCTATTGTGATTGATAGTTTTGCTGGGAATTCTGGTCTAGACTGATCTCTGTGGTCCTTAGAGTTTGTAGAACATCTGTCCAGGCCCTCCTGGCTTTAGAGTCTCTTTTGAGAAGTTAGATGTTATTCTAATGGATCTGACTTTGTATGTTACATTGTTTTTCCTTGTAGCTTTTAATAATCTTTCTTTGTTCCATACATTTAGTTTTATGATAATTATGTGTCATGAAGCATTTCTTTTCTGGTCCTATTTGGTGTTCTGTCTACTTCTTGTACCTTGGTAGGCACCTCCTTCTTTAGATTAGGGAAATTTTCTTCTATGATTTTGTTGAAAATATTTTCTGTGCCTTTGACCTGGGGATCCTCTCTTTCCTCTATTATTTTTATTATTCATAGATTTGGTCTTTTCATAGTGTCCCATATTTCTTAGATGTCTTGTGCCTGGATTTTTTTTCAGATTTAATGTTTTCTTTGACTGAGATATCCATTTCTTCTATCTTTTCTTCAATGACTGAGATTCTGTCTTCCATGTCTTGTACTCTGTTGGTGAAGCTTACCTTTGAGGCTTTTGTTTGGAGTCATAAATTTGAATTTTCAGTTTTATGACAGTGTGGTTTTCTTTAGTGATTCTGTTTTTACTTTCATGTCTTGAACTATTTCCATTATTTCATTCACTGTTTGTGTATGATTTCATGGTCTTAACTAAGGCATTTATTTATGTCATCTTGAAGGCTCTTGAACATACTCATAATTGTCATTTTGAAGTCCTTGTGCTTCAGCTATATTGCGTTTCTCAGGTCCTCTTACAGAAAGTTGACCGGGTTCTGGAGGAGGCCTATTGTCTTGGCTGCTAATATTTGTTTTTTCATACTGCTGTTCGGGCATCTAGAGTTGGGATAACTAAGTTATCCTAGATGTTGTTATCTGGTCTTATTGTGGGGGGATGTGTGGCTCTTCTGTTCCATGGCTTCCGTTGCCCTGTCTGGCTCTTAGGAATGTGTGTTGGCTGTGATTGCCTGGTCGAGAGTGCTTCTGCAGGTCAGTGAGTGGCAGAGAGGAATAGAGGCGGGCTAGGAAGAAAGGCTGAGTGGGGACTTGGGCAGAACTAAGGGGATCTTGTCAAAGGTGGGGTCCCCAGAGTTACATGTGTGGTGGTAGAGGGGATCTTGAAAGTAGGCTGCAGTGAAGTAATGTAGAGAGACAACAGTGAGGACCTAGGGTGATGCTGGATCTGAACCAGGATGTGGAATCTCCAGTGAATGAAGCAGAGGTGGGAGGAGGGGCACCTCAAGCCGGTAGTTCCAGGGCTGAGGATGAGGATGGAAACATCAGAAAGAAGGACAGGATAGGATGGTGTGAACTGACTCCCCGAGTCACTGCCAAGTGTGGCCACTGGGGTTCCAGGTAGAAAGTGTTCCTTGGTAATGGGGCTGACACACAGGAATGGAGATGGGCTAAAAGGGAGGATTGAGAGGGTCCACTAGGTGGGGAAGCTGGGTCCCCCCGCAAAGTTTGTCAGAAACCCCAGGAAATGGAGGTAGGGTGGGGAGAGGCACCTGAAAGCAGTTGCTGCAAGATTAGGAATGAGACTGGAGAGATTGTAAGGGGAGACCAGATGGAGAGTCACTGCCCGGTCGGCCATCAGACATCCCAGGCAGAGAGTCAGCTGGCACAGAGGGCTGAGAAGGAGGGCTGAGAAAATCCACCTCGTTCATATCATAGAGACAAAACCTTGTCTATACAGCTTAAACTCCATATCCTATTAATTACGCTGTAGAGCAGAAAATAAAACATTAGATGATATCTACTTAAACATTCATTTTCTTGCTGATACATATTATTACTACACATTAGTTAGCAATTATCTGCAGATAGGTAAGTACAATTTATATTGTAAATATGTACATACTGTTTTGTCATTTTCTTCCTTTTTCAGTTCAGTAATGGAAAATTTTCTGATCCTTTATTTTCCAAATTACATAAACGTCAAGATATTTTCAGTCCATCTCAGAGAACAGCAGAGTTTGGAGCATCATACGAGAGAATAAGCAGGTGAGTAGGGCACAGAAGAGAAGATGATACAGAGTGTGGAACTCTAAGCCGTTACTTTGATTTTAAAAGGACATGAATATTTTTCAGCTGAAGATATAATGCTGAAAATCAGGTATTATAAAATATGATTTCCACATAGAATGTGCTTTATAACTTATGACATGTTCTATGATTATTCTCCCATTTATAATGATAGAAAACTTTTCTGGCTTTAATGGTGTGTGCTATTACAATGGATTATGTCTTTTAGTATAAAACATTAATTAGATGCTCATTGAGAAATCAGAGGGAATTATAATCTATGAACATATGACCCAAAACATGAATTTTTCTCTATTTAATCCTAATAATTCTTTCGGTCTCTAACCTGAACACATGACCTAGTGCTTAGAACTTAGTGTTTCTATTTAAATATTTAATAGGTAGTTAAAAGCAAAGTAGAATCAAAATTTTCAGGTTGAAGAAATAACTCGGCAGTTAAGAACACATGCTGGTTTTACTAGGATCCTGATTTGGTTCCTAGCATCGACATCAGGCAGCTAAAAGCCACCTGTAACTCCAGTTCCAAAGGATTTGACACCGTTGGTTTCTGTAGACACCTACACTCAGCTGCACATATGGCACCCAATAACATAAATGAATATACATAATTAAAAATAAAATGAATATTAACAATTTCTTGTTAACAGTCTTGTCTCTCTCCCAAAAAATTTTTTATACTTCCATTCCCTGAAATAGTCCAATCTCAAGTGAGTTTATAGTCAGCGGCAATAAAACAAAAGGTATTTTTGTTGTTACTATTCTTTGTCAGCTTTGATTGTTATGCATAAGCTAGATTTAACCCAGAGTTTCCATTTTTGCTTAGGGAAAGAATTTATAGGTTACCCAGTTCACCTAATTAGCCTTCATTTGGGTTACCTTATTTTTTAAAAATAAATTACATCTTTATTTTTCTTCACTGAGAACTTTGCAACTATTTCAATTGCTAAATTTGCTAATTTATAACTCTTTAAAAATATTTTTACATGAGATTACTTCCCTCAGTAGTCTTCAAAAATCTCTTTCTCTGTTTAACTAGACAGCAGCAACCCACAGTGGACACTAGGTTATTCGCTAGACTGTGCTGTAGATGACAGACTACTGAGTGGCATGTTTTGTTTGCTAACGATAAATAAAACTATGCACTCAATTTCACATTGGAATACAGAACCATTTATAAATGATTTTCTTGCCTATTAATAGAATATATGAGATAAATTTCCTTCCAAAGCATTATTATTTTCTTAAATATTAAGTTTAAAATGCAATTTGGGAAAATGCTAGTCATCCTCCAGTATCTTCTTTAAAGTTTTAAATTTAAGCTAGTGTTTGTAAATAAAACTGATCAAACCTTTCCTGCTAAATATGTTTTTATTTATTCCAAAGTTCAGAAAGTGGTGATTTCTTTACTAGAAGATCTGTGATTATGGGTGAAGATTGTGGAAGCCTCTGTCAAAGAAGACAGCCAGACTTTGCTACGGAAAAAACATCAGTACACCAGATTTGGGGGGATAATGGGAAAGAATTCTCCAGTTTTCTTGAAGATGTGAGCGAGCCAACCCAGAGACATCTGTCGTACAACCACGACTTGGACACATTTGTCAGTCACAACATGATCCAATTATTGAGCAGAGATCAGCCAGGGAGAATGGCAGCCTTTCCTAAGTGTGGTTATGGTGGTTTGAGTGGCACCTGTGTGGCCTCTTCTGATGGAAGCTACGCCACTAGTGGGGTCACTAGAGGGAATTGTACAGTTCCACAAGTAGCTCTTCCTAATCCTCCTCTGAATACAAGTTACTTAGGAACCTGTCAGTCAAAGAAGCCCTACCAGAAGGAGTCCAACAGTAGTGAAACACGTGAATTTAGATCTTTGGAGAAAGATTGTCACCCAACCAGATGTGGAAGAAAAGGTTGGTGTTGCACAGTCAGTTTCTCTCTATATATGTATATTACCATGTTTCATATATTTATACACATACACATATAGTTGCCTTTCCATATCCAAATGTTCTATATTTTTAGATTCAACTAACTCTATAGACTAAATCGAAGATGTCTTTGCTGAACATGCACAGACTTTTTTCTGACCATTATTCCCTAACCAGCAGAGCATATAGACTGTTTAATAGCATCCTCAGAGTTGGCAAGATGGCTTGCTGCTGACCTGAGTTCAGTCCTGGCAGCCATGGTGGAAGGACACATGCTGCATCTGCGAGTACTCATACACACACAAATGAGTATTTTCATAAAGAGCATTTTTACTGCATCAGATATCCTAAGTCACCTGCAGATGACAGAAAGAATATGAGAGTATATGCATTATGGGAACAGATTCAGCTATTTTATGCAAGACACTGGCATGTCAAGGGATTTTGGTGTCTATGGGGAAAATGAGTAGACGGGAAGGGTTTGGAACCAATTCCTATCAGAAACAAGGGGATGAATGTGCAGTACATTAATTTATATAATGTGCTGGGAGGTACATAAAGCCACATAATGTTTTATTGTATTATATCATGGACTACCAGTTTCCCTCTGCGTATCCTTCTGCTTTGAATTAAAAATGAAAATAAATGATGCTAACTTTAATTCAGTGTATGCTTTTATTTTTGAAGGAAATATTGAAAGTGATGACCAAGAGGAAGCGCTGTGGAGAAATACCTGGGAATACCCAGTGTGCTCTATGTAAGTTTTGATTTAGATCTACTATAATGCAATGCATGTATTCAAATGAACAGATAGAACATAAGATGATAATATGTTTGCTGGGTGGTGAGCAAACTGGTCTCAAAGAAGCCGTGCCCTTTTATATATAAAACAATGAGTAAAAGCAACTGCTTAAGGCCATGATGTTCACATTTTCCAGCCTCCAAGACCTTCTCATCTGACCATTTAGTGTTGAATATCCACCATATATCTTCTAAATATCAATTCCCTGATTAGCAGAAATAGAAGTATCCCATGGGTAGAATGCTTATTAGTGCAAACAGTATATTGCCTCTTTTGCAGTCCCCACAGGAATATTGCATGTTTGGTATAGAATCAACAGGGAGCATGAGAATGCAGTGAGGCAGTATAAGCAAGACTAGCCCCATTATGTGACATCTGTGTTCTAGCATCCTCTGCATGCTAATATTCACCTCCCACGGTCTCCTATGTGACAGAATAGATATATTCAGAGTTGCTCTCCCCTGTATCTCATCATTGTTATGCTTTTTTTTTTTTTTTTGGTTTTTCGAGACAGGGTTTCTCTGTGTAGCTTTGCGCCTTTCCTGGAACTCACTTGGTAGCCCAGGCTGGCCTCGAACTCACAGAGATCCGCCTGGCTCTGCCTCCCGAGTGCTGGGATTAAAGGCGTGCGCCACCACCGCCCGGCTGTTATGCTTTTTGTTACATGGAAATGATCATGCATCACCAGATCCAGCTTCCTACTGCTGATGGTGTAAAAAGTATTTTGAATCTTAGATTTTTTAATTGGGTCTTTTATTTCTTAAGACATGGTTTATTCCTTTGAGTTTTGAGGCTGCCTTGATGGCTTTTCTACAAAATTATCTATAATTATTGCTAATGCAGGGAAACATTATTTTAGCTGATAGTTACTGAATAGTCCTGTTTTTCTTGGTAATAATCATAATTTAGTCAGATCTTTGATTTTAAATTTACTTATACTTTTTTTTTTTTTTTTTTTTTGGTTTTTCGAGACAGGGTTTCTCTGTGTAGCTTTGCGTCTTTCCTGGAACTCACTTGGTAGTCCAGGCTGGCCTCGAACTCACAGAGATCCACCTGGCTCTGCCTCCCGAGTGCTGGGATTAAAGGCGTGCGCCACCACCGCCCGGCCATTACTTATACTTTTATTGTGAAAGAATATTCCATATTCTTATGGAAATTATTAAAGTATCTATTGATAAAAAGAATTTATACATGTCATTTTTATGGAATTGGTATTTATTAAAACTTAGGCACATAATGTATTTCTAAAATTGAGAAATGAAATTCTTGGTTCTTCAATCATCTGAAAGTTTGAGTAAAACTTTTGTTTGGCTTTAAGTTTTAAATTCAGCTTTTAAAGGTGACTTAGGACATATGGCACTGTTTCAAAAGAGCAAAAACAAAATGGGAAAAGGACCTGATTTCTCAATCTTGAGTGAAGATCTAAATTACCTGGAGTGATTATGTCACAATATAGATGTTTCCAGGCTGGGGATTTGGCTCAGTGTGATTTGGTGCACAAACACTAGGACCTGAGTTTGATTCCAGAGTTAGGTGCATTGATGCGCACTGCTAATCCCAACACTGGGATGGGGGATGGGGGATGGGGGATGGGGGGAAGGAGGATCCCTGGGGCCTGTTGACAGCTAGCTTTCCCTACTGATCAAACCCCAGATCTCCATGAGAGACCCTGATGAACAGCAGCTGAGGTTGAATTCTGGCATCCACATGCGCACACACATTTGTGCACACACATTTGTGCTTACACACCAATATGCACATGCATAGAGAATATAGATGTTTAACTTACATATTAAAATAAATGATCAGTTTGGTATGGTACTTGTCAATTCATATTTTTAAAAAGCTTCTTACATAATTCTGATTTGAAACCAAAATTTAGAATAATAATAGAGGAAATATGCTTTAATACTTTTTTTTAATAATCCCTAGGGGTGATATTCCTTTGAAAGAATTACATCATAAGCAGTCATGTGATTTTGACCATAATGAGGTAAAGCTCATTGTCACATTGTCTTTTCAATGAATTCAGTTTGTGGTGTCCTATTTTAGTATTTAGTTTACCCTGATTTAAGATTATAGTTTATTCATGCTTATTTTCATGTAAACTCATATTCTGTTATACTAGAGAAGTTATGGCTTAGAGTTAGAAAATATAATGTTCTTTGAGACAAATTAGACACATTAAAAATAGTTCTTATTGCACTGTAAGATTTTGTTGAAGAAAAAAGTGCTGTGTGTTTTACTGTTCTCTTGATGAGTACACCTGAGTCAGGAACTGAACCACTGGCTTATGTAATTTGATCCTCTTAACTGTATAGTTTTTCCTTAATAACTGTGTGGCTAATTTTATGTCAACTCGACATAAACTGGAGTCATCTGAAAGGAGGGAACCTCGATAGAGAAAATGCCTCCATAAGATCTGACTGTAGGGCATTATCTTATTTAGTGATTGATGAGGTCATCCTGGTGGGGCTTGGAAGACAATGTTGCTGAGAACAATGTAGACTATGGGGATTTCAGGGAGAAATATCGGCAACTGGGCTAGAGACCATTACTTGTGATATTGGGCAAAGAATGTAGCTGCCTTTGCCCAAGTCCTAAGAATCAGCCCAAGAATGGCTAAAGTGAAAGGTAATGAACTAAAGTTTTGGTGGAGGGGATTTCTAGATAGCCTAATGATGACTCTGTCATGTTGTTATTAGCAATGACTCTTATGCAGATCTACATTGAAAAAGAACAAGTAGAACAAAAAGAAATACAAAATGTACAGTTTGAAGAGAAAAAGAGCACAGGAAATTTAATATTAGAGCCTAGGTTTGTGCTGCAAGGGATGACATTACAGAATGGAATAAAAGCAGGAGTGTCCCAGGGCAAGACTGAATCCAGCTGAGCTTCCAACTTGTAAAAAGGAAAGGCCTGAAGGAGTTTCTGCTCCTAAAGTCAACAACAAAGGAAAGCTCATGCAAATGTGATTTGAGGGGTCCAGGAGCCATCCTAAGTAGGCAATTGAATTTGGCAGTGTTATCTGTCTGGTTCTGGCTTTGGAGTCACAAAGGCTACACTAATAAAGGGGGTGGGAATCTTCCTCCACAGTTAAGGAGAGATGTGGAGGCCAGGCAGTATGTGGCAGGGTAGACCCTACTTGAAGGCCTGAGAGATAATTACGTGAAGCTGGGAAAGTGAAGCCTGGATTACACTGGAGACACAGATGTTGGAAATGCCAGAGCCGTGAGACATGTGCCAAGAAGAGCTGCACACAGGGAGTGGCAGCAGCTCAGGAAAGAGGTGTGCTGCAGTCAGTAAGGCCGGAAGGGTAGAGTCATCTCAGCCCTTGACATCAGATATGGAGCTATAGGATTTGGAGTTTGCCCTGCTTGGTTTGGTCCAGTATTCCCTTAGTCTCCCTTTCCTCCCTTTTGCAATAGTAATGTGTATTCTGTGCCATTGTATGTTTGAAGTATGTCATTTGCTTTTTGCTTTTTACAAGGGATTACAATTAAGAGAATGCCTTGAGTCTCAGAAGAGACTGTGCTTTTAAATAGTGTTGAGACTCTGAAAGACTATGGGGACTTTTGAAGTTGGACTAAATGCATTTTGTATTTTATGGCCACAAGCCTATGGGAAGCAGGGAGTGGAATGTGGTGGTTTGAATGAGAATTGCCCCATAGGCTCATATATTTGAATACTTGGGCCACAGTTGGTGGAACAGTTTGGGGAGGATTAGGAAGTAATCCTTGTTGGAAGAGGTGTGTCACTAGGGACAGGTTCATGCCATTCCCAGTTAGCTCTCTTTCTATGTCATGGTTGTGTCTCATGATGTAAGTTCTCAGCTGTTCCTATTGCCATGCCTTTATTCTACCATCTCTAACCCTCTGAAACTGTAAGGCATGAAATTAAATGCTGTCTTCTATAAGTTGCCTTGGTCATGGTGTTTATCACAGCAATAGAAAAGACAGCCATCTTTTATGAGCAGATTTGGTATGGACATTGGACTGCATACATGCCTTTGTAGCCATGTACATGTTGGGTTGCTATATACAATCCCAGAGATGGGTTGCATGGTGTGATTCAACCACTTCTTTTCTTCTTAGAGCTTATATGTGTCAAGGGTTGAATAGGAAAGTATTTTTAAATGATAAAATGGTTAGGGAAGGCGTGCTGCTCCTGTGTTACCTCAAGACCTCACACTGGAGGGGACTTTTGTTTTGGGTGGTTCTTAGGTTTGCAGTATACACTGAGTAGAGCATGCTTGAGATTTTACTGGTCTTGGACTGGAAATAGTGTACATTACTTCTGCTCATGGCTATAAATGAAATTGTCTACAATATCTATACTGTCTACATCAAGTTCAAGACATCCTTAGAAATGTAAACTGGCTTTACATTCAAGAGGAAAAGGAGGTGACTAGACAATATCTCCTTCACTCATCTATAGCCCTATGTTCCTCCAAAAGACATAGGGAGCACTTCTTTCAGTCCATGTTGACTGTCATTTATCTGTCATATAGTAAGTCATACTTACTATACCATCTGTCATAAGTTGTCATATAGCAGGCTATAAAGGGAGCCTTTCTTTCAGTTCATGTAGACTGGCATATGGTCTGTCAGCTCTAAAGGGCACTTCAGACACTCAGCAGGGATACCTGAAGCCACATTCCCCCATCAGATTTTACAAAAATCCAGAGCAGAACAACAAAACAAACCCAGTTGTTTAACCTTTTTAACTTCCTAGAAATAAGGAAACACTCTGCATTTTAAAAATAAGAAAGGAAACAAATTCATAATTCATTAATCATGTAGAAAGTAATGAAATTACAACCAACTGTATGTTCTAGAGATAATTTATAATTCTAAACTTTTTTTTTTAAGGAAAAGTGGTAATTTATATCCCACCTTAAAAAAAAAAGTATAGAATACTACTTTCCCAAGTACTTTAATATCTTGCATTTTTTAACTCTATGCACCATGGCACCATGAAGCCTTTCTTTTTGTTAATAGTACATTTCTTAGCAATTGTCTACTCTACTCTCGATGTTTCTAAGCCAATTGGAATTTAAATTTAGTTGGATAGTTTTTTCTTTGTGAAATTGTCTTTATTGAATCAAAGTAATATAAAGCAGATGTACTATAAAATGAGCTGGTGGTATTGGTTGGATAGACATATGTGAAGAGTATTATGAATGCTTTGGATTGTTAAAATTTTGATTCTTTTCTTTAGATCCAGATGGAAGGAAGAAGAATGTGTCCTCTAAAAGGAAGGTCAATGTCTACTGAGAAAATCTGTGAGTGTAACTATCTGGTAACTTTATTATTTTAGAAAAGAAAGAAGTAGAAATTAAATTTTAAAGGTTTTAAAGATTTTTACCAGCAAGCAAATATTTAATAGATATTTTAGAATAGACTACAGTACAGTTGATTCCTTAAAATAGCGTTTTTCTTTTACAAAATAGTTATGATGAACACTTATAATATAAATGTACAGTTTCAGTTTTGTACTCAACTGTAGTTTGAGACAATAGGAACTGTACTTGAGAAAATGTCCCCTGTTGCATTTCCTACCATGGTCCCTAGAGGTCATTAGTCTCCTGGATTTTTTTGTTTTTGTTTTTTCCACCAGGTATTATGTTTTGAGGTTCATCCATTTCATTTTTTTAAAAATTTTATAATTATTTTGAACAAATCATTTATACCTTAGTTACTTCTTCTACCTCATGGATTCTTGGGTTTTTACCTCTTGAACATTTCCTAGATTCTTGAACATTTGGTCATATTCACTTTGCTTTTTCTTTATATGTATCCTAGATCATTTTGTCTGAACTTGTTCTCCATCTGTGAAATTCTCTTTGTGTAGTCTTATCTGTTGAGGATTCCCTGTGCTATGTGATTTATTGGTTCTTTTATTTTCAAATTTTCTATTTTTTTTTTAAATTTCCATTTCCTAAATGAAGTTTTCCTCCGTTTTTATAATTTTGCCTCCAAATTACTGATTGTTTTATCTACTTTGGTAATTTTCCTTCTTTCCTAGTTTGAGGTTGTTTTCTTACTTCATTTATTTAGTGTGAGTTCTGGGGAGTTGTCTTCACTTGGCTTTACATTGCCCACTGCTGCTTAGGGGGAGTTGGCTGCAGTAAATCTGCAGGGGTATGACAGCAGTCCAGTGTGAGCTTGTACTAGAAACCTGTGCACTGCCCATTGCCCCTGAAATTCAGAGACAGGTGCACTAGAGTCGCATGTGGGAAAAATTTAGTTTAGAGTCTTTTAGAGCAAAGAGGTTTTTTGTTTTGTTTTGTTTTTTGAGGAAATAATGAGGAAAGGAGAAAGAAGAGAATAAAGTAAGAATGAGAAGGTAAGTGTAAGGGTAAAATGTGTGCCAAGTAGGTGTAGAGAAAGAATGGCAGAGCAGTCTTTCCTGGGAGATACAAGTTAAAACACAACAAAGGAACAATGGACAGAAATGTAAATGCTAAAAAGATGAAATTTCAGAAGTGCCATGACCTGCATGACTCTAGGGACTGTCCTAACTGGTCAGTGAGAATGAAGAAATGACTGACGGACATACAGAAAAGCTGGGGTTGGTGCACTGTACACTCCGAAGGAGTACACACCAACAGTAACTTGGACACCAGAGTTGCTTTTATACATCTGAATCGAGGAGGCAGGTCTGTCCAATTTTAGTAGAAGGTCTCTGTGGGGGAGCAGTCTCAGGCTCTAGACATCAGGAGGAAGATGTTCTGTATACACTGCCAGTACTGCACACAGACCAGAAGGCTTGCCATGTCCGTGAGTCTGAGACACTGGAGTCCTGACATGGCTGTGCTCATGCCAACTACATGTATTTCCTTGGGACTTCATCCATTCCTTCCAGATTCACTCAGGAGTTCTGTGCATTATTCCGATGGCCAAGACACAGGCAAACACAGGCTGGCAGGCCTTCCACACCTGCTCAGAACCTCAGCCCAGAGAGTTACATTTGTGTGCAGGTGCGTAGGTTATCAGAGATAAGGCCACACCTTGGTTTCTGTCGTCACACCCTTCATATGCTGTTATGGGTAAGGTCCCTGGAACAGACAGGCTTCTTCCTTCTGGTGTCTGTGCTTACAGCACCTGTGGGCTTGCTGAACCTTAGGAGGAGAAAGCCTTCGAGTACACTGTTCGGAATCCTATCAAGCTTTCACTTTCCTTCAGTTTTCTTTTTCATCAGAAATAACTGCCCTCATCAGAAATTTCCGTGAGCTTGGCGCATTTTATAAAGTGCTGTTCGTTATGTTAGTGGAACTTAGATGTGTCTACTTTGCTAGAGTGTGAGTGGTACCCTCCTTCATGAATGGGAGTTTTATTTCAGATCTAGAGTCTTCGCAGAGCAGCCAGTCTGCCAGCTACTCTCCACGGCCAACAGAGAGCACTTTCAGCTCAAGTTCTGACTTGGTAAGCCCCTCCTTTCGAGATTGTTAATATATGCTGAATTAATTTAAAATTGTTTTTTTCTCTTTTTACATTGAGAAGAGTTGAGCCAATAGTGGAAATAAAAGTTACATAAACAAAAATGATTTTGTGAAAGTTAAAAAATTTTTTAAATGTAAAAATGTCAGAAATGTTAACCAAAGTAAAACCAGTATTTGAACATTAGTGATATATGTTTACAGAGATAATGAATATATTCTTATAAAAGCTTCTTATCAGGATATATAAATATACACACACTTACAAGAATATATTCATTATCTCTGTAAACATTTATCACTAATGCTCAAAGACTCCCCTGACTATATTGGCAAAGTTTGTTAGTCACTTTCCTCTGTGTCCTGTAGGATGTCTGGCAGTTTCTTCTGTGAAGCAGAAACCCTGAAGGACCATCCCACCTTTTGGCAAAGTTCAGTAGTCACTTTCCTGTGGGTCCAGTTTATAACAACATACTGTCAATCAGTCTAGGCAAGAGCAGCTTCTTGCCCAAATGGCTAGCCTTGCCACATTGAAAGCAAACTTCATAAGGAGTTTCTTCAGTGCCCACATATCTGAAGTAAATTGGTGATGCCAGGAGCAGATGTGTCTCATTGTTATGAAAAGCCCTAAGTTAACAAAACATTTTAAATGCCATATTCTATAGGTCTTTGAAAGGTTTGAAAACCATCTATCTATCTAAAATATATCTCTATATGATCTGGAAAGCATACCTAACATACCTACAATTTTTATTGTTATAAATTACTAACCACTAACCTATGTTTCCTGATTATCCTATATAGTTTATAATAATAGCTTTAAAAAACTAGAACTTAACCCTACATTTCCAAATGAACTGCATAGGCACAATACCTCAAACAAAAATAGAAACATACATATAATATGTTGTAACAAAAATAACCTTCAATTTTTATCAATATACAAAAATCCTTTAAACAAGAGTAAAAACATATATACAGTGTATTATAGCAAAAATTACCTTAATTTTGTATCAATATACAGAAGTCCTTTAAACAAGAGTAGAAACATATATATGGTATAATAAAAATAACTTTAAATTTGTATCAATATACCAAAATCCGTGCCAATGCAAAATATCTGAGACTAATAGTTGTCTTTTTATCCTATATTCCGCTAAAATATAACAGACATCCATAACTTACCAAACAACCAAAGACCACCCACACCTGCCAACTCTTGGGAATGTGGATGTCATTTTCTCCAAACCGCTTCCTGTTGTCTGTGGGCAAAGGGCATCTTTTTCAGAGGTTCTTGAGAAAATTTGAGATAATGGCTAAGTCCTGGGAAGACCAGCTATAACCTTTGTTGATATCACCTGTACAAGGTTCAGGAGGTCTCCCTTGATCAAACCTCATCCATATTATTCCTGAAGGAATCCACAACCTTTCGTCTCCTGTGGGAACAAAACTAGCATTTTTATTTCCATTTGATAAATATATTTTTTGACTTCTTTTTTAAAGTTAAGATATCCTTAAAGTATCGAGGTTGGTTCAATTTAGCAGTCTAGCTCACAATCCCATGTCTCTCAGTAGCTATTGTTTGTCAGCATTCAAAAAAAAATTTAAAATCAACACAACACTACATAAGATCCAGACTCTGTGTATTTCCCATCTTATGTGGCTTTTTTCTTTTATATTACTTTTATTTTCCCCTTAAAGATTTTACTTTTTTTAAACTATTTATTTCTGTGACAGTCTATACCCATTTTCCTTTCTTTCTTTATCCTATGCACAATGTAAAACACACTGGAATCTGTGTAGAGGTTTTTCCGTCTGGACTTCTCTTACTGTATTATCTTTTAGCTTTTTTTTGACTATGTGAGCAAACTTTAGACTGCTAAGCTACACCTGGATCCTTCACACAGCTCTCTTGGCTGGCTCTGCTTGCTTCCTGGTTCCTGAGAGCCAAGCCTAAAGCTTGCATCCTGGTCAGAAGTTCATCTTACCAGGAACTGCATTCAACCTTCCTAGAGCTCTAGAATGCTGACACTTGTGCTGTAGTAGGCATCTTTATTTAGCTTTTTAGTTTTTATGTTACGTACTGGCTGCTCAAGGGCCCACCAGCACACAGAACACTCAAAGCAGCTGTATCCTTTTTTTTTTTTTCAAGCTTTCTCAGGCATTATGGAAATTTGAGTACCACATTGGTAAGCCACAATGTTGTTGGATCTTCTTTTACTCTAGCCCCATGTTGGGTTCCAAAATGATGTTGGTTGTTTTGTGGTTCTTTACACTTTGGGGGGCCCCACCACCCAGGTCCCAAATAAATTTCATGGATGCTTATTTTTACTTATAAATGCCTGGCCTTAGCTTGATTTGTTCTTAGTCAGCTTTCCTTAAATTATCTCATCTATCTTTAGCCTTGGGGCTTTTATCTTTCAGTATTCCCGTATACCTTTTTATACTTCTTACTCTGTGTCTGGCTGTGTTGCTGGGTGACTGGCCTCTGAAGTCCTCCTCCTTCCTCTCATTTCTTCTCCCTCTTCTCCCATCTTTCTCCTTCTATATATTCTCTGCCAGCCCTGCCTATCCTTTCTCCTGCCTTGCTTGCTATTGGCCATTCAGCTCTTTATTAGATCATCAGGTGTTTTAGTCAGGCACAGTAACACAGCTTCACAGAGTTAAACAAATGTAGCATAAACAAAAGTAACACATTTTAAAATAATATTCCCCAACAGAACCCTATTCTATGCTTCCACTAGTTTGTTCTTGAATGACTGTGGTTGCTTCTCAAAAGATCTTAGTATTTCATTTTTGCCCCAACTTCTTCTCTGAGTAGCAAAGTTCATGACTTTCTAAGAACACAAATTTAATCATGTTAATCTTATTCAGTGTGTTCCTGCTTTACTAACCCATCTAAACTCTTTACAGCATCTCCTGACTCCGTGAAATCTGGCTCCTGACTGCATTGAGTATTCTCCCTTCCTTGTCATGATTTACACATACTGGGTTTCCAGTTCCTTCTCTGCTTTGGTTTTATGAGGTCCCATCTGACAGTTGTTGGCCCTAATTCCTGCGCTAATGGAGTCCTAATCAGACAGTCCTTTCCTACACTTGTATCTCGCAGAGTAGTGCCTTCTTTCTTCACCATTTCCTGAGGTCTTTGACCCATTCTTTTATAGATTTTGCTTCTTGGGTCTCATCTTAGTTGTGTTTCAAGCCTCAGTATTTTTTCAGTGAGTTCTTCAATGGCTCCCCAGTCTAAATGGGGCCTCATAGCTACGTTTGCAAAGTGCTTCATTCTTTTTCTTCGTAATACCTTCTCATTTTTTTTCAGGTGTACGATTATTTGATGAATTTCATTTTTACCTATGTAATACATGTCTAAGAAAGCAGCAGCTGTGCTCTTCCATCTGAGCGCAAATGTCACTCATATTTAATAGGTGGAATGCACAGGACTCTCCAGTTTGTGCTTAACTAATTTTAGTGAACTTCTTGGGCTCCTTTTGCTTCCCAGTGTCAGTCAGATAAAGTCTAGATCTAATTTTAGTTTTTTTGTTATTCAAACTTTCTCTGCTTCCCAGCTTGAATAGTCAATATGTATTTTATTTTTCTTCACCATGGGAGTAACTGAAATGCTAATTTCACACATTCATGGCATGTATTCTACTACTGAGCTACAATTCCAGCAAACAATACATTTTAATTACAATATCCATATGCTATTTTCATAAATTTATTTATAAAGTTGAGAAATGGAAGTCAGCAAAGTTTGTCCCTTTATGTAACAGTTGTAGTATTTATTTTAACCACTCAATTTATAGTAACCTGATACCTTTGTTTTCTCCTTAAGTGTCTTTCGTGGGATGAATTAATAACAGTTATGTAACTGACTTTCACTTAAGGAGCCAATGAATGAACGAGGGTATACTTATTAGCTGCTCCCTGGGAACATGTTACTTCTCTGCCCCTTTTAAGTAGTTGAAGAGTGCTGTGGGATAATGAGGCCGGTAGTTCTCTTCTGCATTTTTATTGCAGTGACAATTGTTAGTATTGCTATTTTAAACTCATAGCTTTCTGGGATCCGTGGGAGAGTCTTTGACTAATCTTTGATATTATATCTGCTTTGATTTGTAACTTACCAAGCAAGCTTTCTTCAGTTTTCAGAAACTTCCTATCCTGTGAATTTAAAGACTATTTTGAAAAGGCCATTTTTCAATTTACCATAGATTCCTTTCATTTCTTTCAGCTATCTGAAGATGAAGATCAGATACAGCAGCAAATTGAAGATTCAAATAAGAAAGCCACAGAAACAACTGATAACTTAGAAAAGGTGGAAGATCACTTAGGTGACATAATTGTGAAAGACAATGTCAAAATTCATAATCACAATGATAATGTTAACCAGTCTTCAGTGAAAAATGATGCTGATCAATGTCCAGAGTCTCAGTGCAATTCAGAGCACGTGTCACAAAACCAAACCAATAATGACTGTGTGCTTCAGGCTGGGAGATGTGACATAGGGGTGCAGACAGAGAAAGAGCTGGTTATGGGGAAAACAGCCGAGGCTGCCGTACAGTGTACCATCATTTGCCAATGCTCATGTCAAAGTTGGCCCAGTGTTCCCGTAGAAGAGGAGCCTTCCCTTCAGGAGGCTGGCAGCTGCAGTGAAGATATTATGGCAGATACCACTGGAGGGCAGGAGACCCAGATAGATAACTCACTCTAAAATCTCCATTTAGAATGCAGGGTTTCATTTAACCTTGGAAGGCAATAGGAAATGTTTAATCTTCATTAACATAATAAGTAATGAGAAAATGAGGCTGAGCATAAAGGGGAGTTTCTAAGTTTTGCTGTTTCTATGCAAATGTAATATTTCCGTTTTTAATATTTTATGTAGGCATTTCTTTAATAGCCTTATTTGTAGAAATTTGCATATATATGCTGCCATTTTCAACATATATGTTGCCATTCTCATGTTTACTCTTCCTTATTTGGATTAAAAATATGCACAACTTCTTTATTTCTGTTGATAATCATTATAAATCTTGATAAAGTTAAATTGTCCAACAAATGTTCTCTTTAAAAATGTTAGCCATGCCAGCCAGGGTGGTCTTCAACCTTCGCTCTCCCTGTCCTCCAAAGCCAACCCCTGTCTGTGCCACAGCGCTTACAGACCACCAGCTGCAGCTTCCCCTTCCTCTGTGCCCTCATCTCCACAAGACCACACAGATCTCCAGCCTTTCTCACCACGCCATCCTCTTGTCTCCGCTCCCAGCTTCTTTAGGCACTCCCTTTTGGAACCAGAGGCCACACAGGCCAGGGAAGCAGGGAGATGATTTTCAGATCTTCACTCTCCTTCCCTTGCTGTAAATCTAGTCGGCAGACTCATCCCCAGCCTCTGCAGCCGACTGTCAGCTGTGGGTGCTCCTCTCCCTCGGCCCCCATTTCCGGGAGACTAAGCAGATCCTAGTGGCACATCCTGCTTTCCTCCTTCCGCTGGACCTCCTCAGCCCCTGCCGGCAAGCCAGTCTCCCTCCCTAAGTGTCAGTTTCCAATACTGAGAAACACATTCTAACTGGACTCCTCCCCGCAATGGCCACACTTACCAGGATCTCAGAAGCATTCCCTACAACCCACAGCCACTATACTTTACTAAGAACCAGAAGGAGCAACAGGAACTAAGGAGAAAAATACCCAACCAAGAAAGACAAGACCAGATATCAGCACCTAGAATTACAGCCACCCCAAACCCAGATGCCTGGACACCAGCATAAAAACACAACCAATAAGAGCCAGGGCAACATGTCTCCACTAGAGCCCAGCAACCCCACCGCAGTAGGCCCTGAGAAATAATCTTGCAGGACTTTCAAGATCAACCTTATGCACTAAGAAGACCCATCTCAGTAATGCAGAGATGGTCTTGGTGGACAATTTTTGAACTCTCTCTGGGCTCCACTGAGCTATGGAGAACAGGGCAGCAGGCAAGCTTTTCTCAGAGTTCAGAGACTTCTCATCCATGGCCTTTCCTAGTCATTTGCCCAGAAGTTCTTTTTGGAAAGCAATATCTTAAGCTTTGTAAAAATTTGTTGTGTTTACCTCAGCTGAAGTTTTCAAATTATGTTTTACAGCATTGAGGAAGCTTTTCAGCTTTCCAGTCTGGCACAGAAGCAGCTTAGCAGTTACATTCTGCCTTTAAAAATCACAAGCTGAACTCAGTGAACATCAGTAGCTCTTGTGTATATGAAGTACGGGTCATAGGAAAACCAACTAGAGTGCTATCCCGATACAGAGAATCACAGTGTACTGGGTCAGAAACCTCTGAAGGAAGCAGTGCCTGAGTGTGCACTCCTATGCTGTAATTGGACAAGGATCTTAGTGTGGAAAACTGTGAGGGAAAACCCTCCAGGACCTCATTTTAATGAGGACCCTCCTCTGATCTCCAGGAATTTTGAGTTTCGCTTCTACATAGTATACTAGCTATGAGGTAAGAACTGGCAACGGTGATATTTTGAATTAGGACAGAGCATTCTCTTGAACATGGCCCACTGTCAGGAGAAACTGTTGACAAGAGCCTAACTGTCACCAACCTCAGCCTGCAACTGTCCACAGTTGGTGAGGGTGGGGGCGGGAAATACACAGTCCAGCCCTATCATCTACCAGTCCCATGTAAAGGGGGAAAAAGGCAAAGAGCACCTGTGAGCACCATCAAGTCCTGGTCCAGCAGCACACACACACTAGAAGACCGAGACCTAATCGTATACCCCTTATACCATTTCATTAGTTTCTTTTACCTGGTGTATCATGTTTGGTAAACAAAGTAAAACAAGACCCTGCCACCCCCCCCCCCCCCCCCACAGACAAATAAACCTTAGAAGGCACTAGACATGTTGGCTAATAAAATTAATAAACTATATTATCTATATAACATATACAGTATCTATATAACAATAAGTGCTATAATCCCAGTATTCTAAGAGTAAAGGCACACAGCCTACAGTTTGGAGGTAGCCTGAGATACTTGGTAAAATGCTGTTTCAACAAAGCAAGGTCCAGAGACATGTACCAGGCTCTTTCTTTTTGGGCCACCAACCAGTTCCCAAATCATGACACAGAAACTTATTAGTTTTGAATGCTCAGCCTAGCTTAGGCTCCTTTCTGGTTAGCTCTTTTCACTTAAATTAACCTGTTTCTCTTCATCTACCTTTTGCCTCAAGGCTTATTACCTTTTTTCCTTCTGTACATCTTACTATCACTGCTTCTATATATCTGCCTGACGGCGTCTGCCTCACTTCTTGCCCTGGAAATGTCCCTTGTTCTCTCCTCCTCCTCCTCCTCATTCTTCCCTTTCTTCTTTTCCATCTGGAGCCTAGATTTCTCCTATTTCTTCTCTCTACCCGCCAGCCCCACCTATCCTTTCTCCTGCCTAGCATCATTCTGCTTTTTATTAGACGAGTCAGGTGCCTTGGATAGGCAAGGTGAAACAGGCACAGCACAGCTTTACATCATTAAACACACATCCTTATATCATTAGACAAATGCAGCATAAACAAAAGTAACACACCTTTATACAGTTAAAGTAATATTCCACAGCAAAAACAAATGTAACCATCTTTGCCTAGTTAAAATAATATTCCACAACAGAGACACTTATCTATCATGCATTAGACCTTAGATTCAATGCACAGGACCCCCTCTTACCAAAATAGATTTTATTTATTTAAATTAGATGTTAATATAGACATATGACATACTAAAAGGCAAGCAACAAGAACAAAATAGTTTCAAGTTAGAGTCGGAGCAGGCATCAGAACCAGACTCCAATAAGTTAAAGACATCGGAATGACAAAATTCAGAATTTAAAATGTGTTGTTATTAGTATGCAGAGAGCTATGGTGGAAAGAGTAGACATACTGATAGTGGTTAGTGCATAAACAGAGACGGCAATTCTCAGAATGTCTTAAACCACACCCTTTAAAACTACCCACAGAACAAAGACTGACTTTGGTGGACACAACAGCAGATTGGACACAGGTCGTCTAAGAATCTCTGAGCTCGAGACTTCCATACAAAACAGAAAATGAAAAACGATTGAGGAAAACAGGACAGAATATCTGGGAGTTGTGCAACAGGTACTTAAGGTTTAATGTATCAATAATGGGAAGCCCATAAGAAGAATCAAGAAAGAACAGAAGATATTTGAAGGAATAATGACTTGGAATTTCCTAATGTCCCCAAGCAAACCATCAATCCAGAGAACAGCAGGCAGGATAAACACAAAACAAACAACCCCTCCCCACATTCCAGTATATCATATTTTAACCAGCACAAACAGAGCCAAAGGAAAAGTCGTCTAATTATATTGGAACAAGTCTTCATCGAAAACCTTAAAAGCCTACAAAAACTGGAGGGAATTTTGGTTGGTTAAAAAAAGCATCAACATATAATTCTGTATTTGTGAGATGCGGCCTTTCAAAACAGAAGGAGAAATATTTTCTCAAACAGAAAACATCGGGAACTCTATTGTGAGTCTCCTTGCCACGCCCACACAGTTAACAGAGAGTCTTATATAAAAAGAAAATTACATAGATCAGAAACTCAGAAGTATAAAAAGAAAGCCGAAGCCAGTTATATGGAATGCAGTTATACATGTTGTTTGTTTTGTGGCTCTTTAGTTGGGGGAGGCCCGCCACCCAGCTCCCAAATAAATCACACATGGAGGCTTATTCTTAATTATGAATACCTGGCTTTAGCTTGGTTTAGTTTCTTGCCAGCTTTCCTTAACTTATCCCATCTATCTTTTGCCTCTGGGCTTTTCCTTTTCTCATACTTACCTTACTCTTTCTCTGTGGCTTGCTGTGTAGCTGGGTGGCTGGCCCCTAGAGTCCTCCTCCTCCTCCTCTGGCTCCTCCATTTTAGCTCTCTCCTCCCAGTTTTCTCCTTCTATATATACTCTCTACCTGCCAGCCCACCTATCCTTTCTCTTGCCTTGCTATTGGCCATTCAGTTCTTTATTAGACCAACATGTGTTTTACACAGGCACAGTAACAGTTTCACAGAGTTAAACAAATGCAACATAAACAAAAGTAACACACCTCAAAATAATAATCTACTACATATACTATTCTCACAAATTTTTTCCAAATAATGATACCTGACTGGAAAGATGGCTCATTGGTTAATAACACTTGTTATTCTTACAGAGGACTCAGATTTGATTACCAGTGCCCACAAAGCAGCTCAGTCCAGTGAATCCCACACAGGGGACCGGAGACATGGTCCCCTGTAGTTCAGAGCACTTTCCAATCTTCCACAGGATCTGCATTCAGATCCAGCCCTCCCACTGAGCAGCTCACAAACACCTGGGACTCCAGCTCCACAGGGACCCAATGCCTTCTTCTGACCTCTGCAGGCACCTGCACTCACATGTGCATGCCCACACGCAGACACAGACATATAATTAAAAAATACATCTCTGTACATAAAAAGGCTCATTTTAAAGACAAATATAAGTTAAAGTTAAGACAAAGAAAGATGCTGGGTTTTGTGGTGGATGCCTTTAATCCCAGTGCTAGGAGGCAGAGGCAGGTGGATCTCTGAGTTCAGGGCCAGCCTGGTTTACAAAGCAAGTTCCAGGACAGCCGGGACTGTTACACAGAGAAACTGTCTTGAAAACTCAGAAAAAAAAGAAAAGAATCAAAGAAAGACACAGCATATAAACAGTAGCCACAACAGACTGGCAATACTTATTCCAGAGAGTGGACTTCAAAGAAAGGAAGCCCTTTAGGACAGTAAACCTCCTTCTGTGGGTGCAATTATTGGTCATTTTAGATCTTAACTAAAATCCTCATGGTCTTACATCACCACTACATTGTAATTTTTATCTACTACTCATGGTTCATTCCTAAATCTAGAACCAGTGGCCTACTGGAGGATGGTAGCTGCAACATTTTTCAAGTAGAGGCATTCAGGTTTTTATCTCTCTCTCTCTCTCTCTCTCTCTCTCTCTCTCTCTCTCTCTCTCTCTCTCCCTACCTACCTATCCATCCATCCATCCATCCATCCATCCACCCACCCACCCACCCACCCACCCATCAATCCAACCAATCTATCCACCCACCCACCCACCCACCCACCCACCCATCTATCTATCCTAGCTATCCTATCTATCTATCTATCTATCTATCTATCTATCTATCTATCTATCGTGAAACTCCTTGTAAAAAAAGAAGTGACAAGGTCAGCTGCAGAAATGGCACCACTATAATCTGATTTGGGTCCATATTCTGTTCTGTAACTTGTGGTTCTCAGTCATGGCTGAGTAATCTCATTCAGAAAACAGTGTGAGTATAGATTCTGTGGATATTGAGTATCTGATGTGTATGTATGCTATTACAGAATGGAAATGTAAAATACTTATGCTGAGGCTCACTCATGAAGCATGGTTTCTTATTTTAATTTTGAGGCAAGGGTATGTTGCCTTTTTTATAAAGGCACAAAAACAAGTGTCCTTATGGCATATTATATGTAAACGGCTGTAATTGATTCCTCTACCCTTGTTCCTCCCCAACCCCACCCATCCCATTCTCCTCATCCTCTTCTGTGTCCAGCATTGGGGACACTATCATATCACATGTATTGTTTCCTTTTCCACTATGTCCCTTGAAGCCTTTCCCCTATATCATGAGATCCTTTTAATTTTCCTGGTTTTCTGCTTCATAAGTACATTACTCTCACATAAATATACATATTTAATAATTAGAAGTTAAGGTCCACATATGAGAGAAAACATGCAGTATTTGTCTTTCTGGGCCTTGGTTACCTGATGTCACACATTTTTCAGATCTATTCATTCCCTAGCACATTTCATAACTTCATTCTTCTTTGTGGTTGAATAAAAGGCCACCATGTATATGTGCCATACTTTGTCCATTCATCTGTTTATAGACATCTAAGTGAGTCCATGTCCTTACTATTCTGAAAGAGCAACAATAATCACTCAGGAATATGCAAATGTTTCTGTGGTAAGATTTAGATTTTAGCTATATTCCCAAGAGTAATGTGACAGGGCCAGATGCTAGTTCTGATTTCAGCATTTTGAGAGGTCGCAACACTGATTTCCATACTGTTGCATCAGCTTGCACTTCCACCAACAATGAATGAGTCTTCCGATTTCTCTATATCCTCTCTAGCATTTGTTACCATTGTTTTCTTGATGATAGCCAATTTAACTGGGGCGAGATGGAATCTGAAAGCAGCTTTACTCTGCATTTCCTTGAGGACTGAGGATGCTGAAATGTTTTTAAGAATGTTTACTGGACATTTGTTTTTCTTCTTTGGAGAAGTGTCTGTTCACTGTCAACCCATTTACTGATTGCTGTTTGGATTTGTTTGTTTTTCTCAATATTTTGTATTTTCTAAATATGAATCCCTTTTATGAAGTATAGCTGACAAAGACTTTCGCCCATTCTCTCGCTGTCCACTCTGTTGATAGTTTCTTTGGCTGTGCTTTTGAATTTCATTTGTCAATTATTGGTGTTATCTCCTGTGCTATTGGGATCCTATTCCAAAAGTTCTTGCTTATACCTGTATCGTGAAGTAATTTTCCTGTATTTTCCTTTAACAGTTTCAGTGTTCCAGGTTTTAAATTAGGGTTTCTGACTTACTTTGAATTGATTTTGAATTGTGCAGAATGAGAAATAGACTTGTTTTCATTCTTCTATAGATCGATATCCCGTTTTGTGACCACCATTTGTTGAATAGGCTATCTTTTTTCCCAGTATATGTTTTTGACAACTTTGCCAAAAATTAGATGTCCATACCTACATAGCTTCTGTCTGAGTCCTATATTATTCTGCTGGTGTACATGTTTAATAATTGAGTTAATAGGAAAAGAATGTGAATCAACTTCCTGGACACTTTTCCCCCATCCTACTTAAAACTCACTATTTCATGTATAGCAGAAATCTATCATAGACGTAGTACTTAATTGATAATACTTAGTAGTACTCAATAGTACTTAGTAGTACTTAAAACTTTCTTAAATTAACCGAGAATTTCATAAAATGTGTTTTGATCAGATTCATCCCCAACTCCCTCCCAACTCATCCAATTTTGGGTTCTGAGTCCCCCCATCCTCCGTTTTCCCTTCTCCAGTCTAGTGTGTGTTGTGGGAGCAGGGCCTGCCCTGCAGTGTGACAAGCCTAACAGAAGGCAATCCAAAATGGGGCTACAGATCACCTTCACCCCCCAACCCACGGCTCAGGGAACTGCTCAGAGTGAGGACAGAATGATGGTAAGAGCCAGAGGGAGAGGATGACTTCAAGAAAACTGTTTTCTAGACACAACAAGGTACAGAGACTGTGACAGCATGCACAAGCCAGGGGCAAGCTCAAGTGAGACAAATCTCAGCATGGAAGGGATGGGAAGGTGAGTGTAAAATCCCACCTCTGGCTAAGGAGCTCCTGGAAAGGGAGAGCCAGCTTTCTCCAGTCCTTTATTTTAAAACCTTGGCTTGTTTGTGCACATAGTTATCTTGTTACCCCAGTGCTTGCATTGGGCTCTTTTCTATGCATTGCTGATTTACTTTTTATGTTTCCCCGAGTTTAGAACCAGGGGATATCTCCATATCCAGAGTTGCCAAAACAAAGCAGCAACCTTCACATCCAGGGATAGGAGTCAGTCTTCAGGACCTTTGGTCACAGAGAGCCCCAGATTAGGTGCTAAGCTATAATAAATGGGTCTAGGGGAGGGGGAGTCTCGAGAAAATGACCACGCAACCCCAAGTGTGGGTTGTACTTCCGCAGTAAGTTGTACTTCTGCAGAAAGGTGTTTAGACACACTTGGTTAAGAAAGCGGGCTTAGCTAAGCAAGACCCAGAGGGAATCCCACTGGGTTTTTATTCCTAACGCACTGTGCTGCACTCTGACTGGTCAGACTGGCAGCCTGGTCCTATGGGATTGGCTAATATAGAGAAGCAGTTTCCGGGAGACATGAAATTTGAGCATAGATCTTGATTTCAGGAGGTGCTGACTCTGCAGGAACTTGAATATCTGCCAAATGGCTTCTTTACAATTGTTGTTGTTGTTAAGGGATTCTGCGCTTTTCAACCCTTTGATAGAAAAGACAGTAAGGGGGCTGAAGAGATGGCTCAGTGGTTAAGAACAATGTTTGCTTCTCAGAGCAGTTTCCAGCACTCACAACCATCTGTAAGTTCAGTTCCAGGGGATCTGATGCCCTCTTCTGGCCTCCACAGACACCAGCCATGCACATGCAAGCAAAAGATCTACATGCAAACAAAACACAAAATTAAAATTAACAAAAACCAACACATTTTGTTTACAGTTCCCACAGTGTGTTCGCTCTATAACCTAGATACTAAAATCCAAGATGAGACGTGAAGAAGTAAAAAGTTCCAAGAGAATGAATTACCTTTACTTTTATTTGATTATTTTCTTATACAGCTCTGGCACTGACACTTTCTTTAAAAAAAGATTGTAACTTTATGTAAATATTGAAGTTCAATAAAATAACTTAAAAAACATTTACATGTATATCACTAAATCTCCATAAAATATACCATACTTTTGATACAGCATAGGCTAGCATGATTTGGTAACTGGGACAGTGGCAGTTTTCAAGAGATATTGTGTATGTCACAGGTAGGAAGGAGAAGACTAGATTTGCCAAGATATGTCAAGTATTAAACAGTATATAACATGCACTCAGAAAATTAAAATGTACAGTTCAAAATACATAGGCCTCTAAAAGCATGAAACTCCTGATTTAATACAGATGTATAGAGTTCCTAAATAGAAATTAGAACATTTATTACAAACAGTACTGTAACATCAAGTGAGACATAGTACAGGAGCCACCAGAAAATCTAGACATGTATATAGGACATGAATTTCTACTTTGGCCAGAGTTAACATTATATTGTCTAAATTTTAAGTGAAATGGGATAATGTTGAGTTGAGCAAAATCTTAAAACTTTGTAAAGCACAGATTCATACGTTTGAATACTGATTATCTGCAAGTCAATTTCTTATTCTATTTATATGGATATGACAAAATCAATCCCATGAACCTAATTGTCTAAAATGTGAATAATTTATTACCTGTAAACGAAGGCATTGAAGATACAGTTGACCAAATTACTCAAGTGCTATAGACTGTACTGTACACATATGAAGATCTAGAGAATTATACTGCTCTGCACTCATAAGCACAATATGATGATGATAAAATACTTCCTGGTATTTCCGAACATGAATACTTGTAAAGCGACTCTCTGATGATTATTGGCATGTAAGTATTTCCTTCCCTAAACAGCATACAAGAAAGAGCTGAACAGGTAGCTGTTTGGCATTTGCAACTGCTTGTAGTGCCCAGAAGGTGGCAGCACTGGTACTCGCCTTGGAGAACTGAATGAACTGACAGTCTAACCGAGCTGTGCATGAGGCTAGGATTGGTAGGAATCGACAGGCTGAAGGACATGAAGAATTAACCCAGAGGACAATTCTGAGTGTTGTATAGGCAGTAGCTACTTTTGAACTATAAATTTCATCTACAACTTTGTAGCTTAAGATAGAATGTACTATAGTTTTCTAGAGAGCATGTACGAGGAATCCTCTGCTCCTGGCCTGGTTGTACCCATCTAATACTTTTTTGTTCCGAGTTAGGGAGATGGTCTGAACTTGATAACTGAGAAGTTATTACACTCAGCTATTAAAGAATACCTGTAGGTAGCACTATCTAAAACATCATTTCACCCCGCCCCAAGATTTATGATTATTAAACAATACATTTCAATTTTACTTTGCTATTACTAAGTAAATGGGCAAGCTGTCGATGTGTTTTTTCCTGGCATTTTCCCCTGTTTAACAGATACTAAAATTACAGCAGAAATCCATAAATTCAGTGCTTTTCCTGGTCTCTCACCTTACAGTGAATAACAAGTTTTAAGATTGTATCCTAAAGTGTGTTTCACTGATAAATTATTTAAAAGATTCTGCTGTCATTCTCCTGGAAATATCTTTTATTCTATAGGTATATTCAAAGCCATGTTTTAGATAATGACTAAGGTAGGTGTAATAATCAAGATTATTATAGATGCTTATATGGAAGAAAATATTAATGCCCAATCTTTTTAGGCCAGCACTTGACCACTGACCTGTATCCACAGCCCCAACACCAAGTCTTTTTGACATCATGTTCCACAGTATGTGCTTATTATGTAGACAAAGGATGCATTCTTAATTCTCCTATATATTAGTCACCCAGCTAGGTTGCAGGCGCGGTCTTGACCTCCTTCACCCAGTGTTCCCTAAATGAAATACACCTGTATTGAATTTGCAGCATGTTTGGAAAGAAAGCTGTCATTGTAGAGGCAAGTATACTGCTTAATCTGTTTATTTTAATGCGGTGGATCAAATCCTATCATATAGAAACTGTCTTAGAAAATATATGTTCGATGATTTCACATGGGTGGTTTTCAAGTTGACACCAGAAACATAAAAGGTGTTTAATAGAATACAAATCTGAACAGTTCCAACACTGAACTTTGAATGTGCTATAAATGTTCACCAGATCTAAAAAGCATACCTGGGTTATAGAAGGCTCCTTTTCAAGTATTGAGTTGCTTTTTAAAAGTTATAAATAAGTCATATGTGCCTCTCTGCCTTGTATGTTAAAGGTATGGAATATACTATATAAATAACAAATAATTTTTAGAAATGAAGGGAACAGGGCAAGAGAAAGGTGGACAATTTCCCATTATTATGTTAAGTTATGGACATAAAACTGAAAACATGCTTGTTTTTATGCCAGCAATAACAGGTCACACCAGCTTTCAGGACTAACAAGTCTAGCTGTCCCTTTGTGTCATATGTGGTCCCACATGTCAGCCCAGCTGCAGACACCTGTGTACTTAAGGCTACGTGGACTAGGAAGGGAAGAAGTGAGGCAACACGTTGAACAAATCAGAAAAAATACACTTTAAAAGGAGCACTTTGCTCACTTTTTTCTTCTCATAATGTGCTAACTCTACCACATAATAGCTCATTTGATCTTGTAAAATACTACTGAATTAAGAAACTTCTTCAGAGATAAGAAATATCAAACAATACATCCCATTAAACAATATCTTCTGTTCTAGAGAAAAATCAATACTAATATTCTCTATAAATAAATTTCAAAGCACCTAATCTGAGGAAAAATTTTCCAAAATACTCTATTAATTTTTTAAAAAATAACATTAAACAACCAACCAGAGAGAACTTCCTCTTTTGGCTGAAGGATTTGTAGGCCACGAAAGTGACTGTGTAAGTAAGTACCCCTGGTGACTGGAGGATAAACTTCTTTTGCTAGAGTCTCAGCTTGGTAATTATGGTAAGAATAAGCCAGACTTTAAAAGAAGAATAAACATTTTGGAGACTGGCCAAAATATTTCCATTTTATCACTAGCCTCCGTTCACTTGGATATGGAACTTAATTAGGTGTTTAGATCATTTGATGTAAAACATTGAACTGATGTATTCCTAACTGGTCACTAGATTCATCCATAGCTTTAGAACTAGCAAATGAGTTTTGTAAGCAAGTAATTTTGTTTGTATCACATAGCTCTTAGTAGGGTGCTGAGAATCAGGAATTTAGTGTTGAATGAACATAGAAATCACCAAATACTTTGAGAAATAATGTTGAAAGGTAAGTCAACCTGTTTTACTGACTGTGGCATTAGAACCTATGTCTTTTCCAAAGGAGACATCTCCTTTAGATATTTTAGAGCAGACAGAAAAACCAAACCAAGTATGAGATAAAGAAACAGACAGAGCTCTGAGTTTTGGTTGTGTAGCAAATTACTAGGAATGAGAAAAGATAACAGAATTAAAACTAGTTCACGTTCTCAGGGGAAAATACAATTAATTAGTAGTGAGGTATCTTCCTGTCCTTAGGAAGAGCCAATAAAACATGTGGAGAAAGAAGTCCTGGGATTTAAAATAAATGTTAACAACTGTTTCTGCCACTGACCTCCTTCCTCATGTGTATCAGAAAGAGAAAACCAGTCTGCCAGCAGCTGTCATTTAACACCAAGGAAGGCACAGAGCAGCAGGAGCCAGGGAGTGACAATGTGGACAGTTCTGTGTAGATTCAACTGACCCTGGAATACAGCTGACAGCCTGACACTACTTCACACTTACAATGGCATTCCAATTGTACACACATTTGTGACTAACGAATCAGGATATATAAAAATCTGTTCTTTCTCACTTTGACAATAAAATATACTTATCAAAACATGCTAGCTTGTCTGTGCAAATATACTCATCACTGATGCAAAAAAGTATGAAAATAACCCTTAAAGGGCCTGCTTTGGATAGTGTTCAAAAGATCTTGTGTATTCAGTCTCTGAAGAAATTGTATCTGTGTTGGAGACAGAAGCCAACATCTGGAATCCAAAGGAGAGAGGGACAGCTATGTCCTTATAGGACTTCTGAATTTGTGAATGGAAGTTTAGATGGAATTCACTTTGTACCTATGGATCATAGAAAAACCATTACTTGGTATGAAAATTTAGGGTCAACAGACCATGTTTTGGCATTAAATACCTTTAGGTCATCTTAAATAATCCTTTATAAATATACATATATACTTTGCCTAGATTACCACTGACTGTATTGCTACTGATAATTGTATGTGGTCTTAGGAGAAAGGGGTCCTACTGAAGTCACTAGGTACAACAGTAATGTTTAGACTGTCTCAGGAAGGGATTATACACATCTGCTTAAGAAAAAAATCTGTGGGTTTTGTTTTAGCATTTCTGTTTATGAAAATAAACATCACCATGGTTGTATTTTTCTCCTCATCAAGTCTTCTAGAATATGGAGTCATTTGGAAGGACTGTGTGGGGAGACGCAGCTTGCGAGCAGGGCAGTGACCAACTGCTGGCCTTCTCTCCACATTCAATTCAGTAACTAAAATGTCATCAGCTGAAAATTACTCCACATCAGAAGCATCGTTGTCAGAGAGATGGTAGTTACTTCCCTTGACCCGGATGTATTCAATGTATCGCCCCTCATCGGAGTCAGAAGCGCCACACGTGCATAGCCTGCTGTCAAAGAGTGACTCGATTTCCTCTAGTTTTTTCCCTTTCGTTTCCGGAAGACAGCCGTAGACGAAAAGCAGTCCTACAGCTGCAAAGCCAGCATAGAGGAAGAAGGCGCCTGCAGTGAGCGGGAAAAGAGTGCAGTGAGCAGCTCCGTGTGGACCCGCATCGGAGAGTCCCGACTCTGATTCGAACGTAACTCTAGTGTGAAACGCAACCCAATGATGTCTGCCAGCCTGCCTTACCTGGATGTTCCAGTCCTGAGCACATGATGCAATTAATCTTTCAAAACTCAAACCATGTCATAGCCATCTGAAGAAGAACAGACCAGGCTCAGATGCAAGCTCTTTTCAGAAGTCTCCCTCAGATCCCACCCAGGCTGAGGGGAATTGCTCTCTCTCTCTCAACTGTTTTCTCAGCACGCTCTTTAGTATTATTATAACCAAGCAGTCCTATTACTATATGCATGTGCATGTCTGTCTTGTCTACTCAGGCATGGAGGGTCAGGAGAAATCTGGATCTCCAGAACCAGGTATAGTGCTGCTGCTGCTGCTGCTGCTGCTGCTGCTGAGTTAATGACTTGATGGAGCTCATGGCATCTCCCTGCAAACTCCTGACAAAAGCTGACACAGGCCCTAACTAAACCACATTCTGTTGCCCGTGCCTTTTCTGACAGTACGTAAATGCATACTATGTCAAAGCACTGACAGGAATACTCTGGTCCCCTCTGATGCCTCCTACTTCACCTCATCCCAAAAGAGTATTTTGCAAGCCAGAGTTTTACTGCATGGGTTTTTATTATGCAAGCCTCTATTTCAAAAAATGCTTCTTGGGATGTTAGTATATATAGAGACTGAAAAGTATTTAAGCATTCTCAAGGATCAGCAATGGCAACTAACATCTATCATCATGCCATGAAAACAAGCTCATGGGTTTATGGAAACATTTTTAGTTGCTAAAAGAGATAAAGCTTAATGTTCTAAACACACCACCAGCTTGTCTCCTGCAGTTCCTTCCCAAGAAAACAGATGTTTCTAGATGAGCATTTCTTAACCTGTTGGTCATGAACATCGGAAAACACATAGTTCCAATGGTCTTGGGAATTGGCACTGCTCAGTAGTAAAATTACAGTTATGAAGTAGCAACAAAAATACATTTATGGTTGGGGGATCCTGAGACCATTGGAAAGCTGTGTATTCTGATGGTTGTGACCCACAGGCTGAGAACTGCTGTTCTAGATGTTCCAAGTGGTTAATGAGAGAGAAGATAATGAACCATTGACTGCACGGTATTAACTACTGCAATACCATGTCAGTGTGTCCCGAACACAGAGCAAAGAGAGCTGTACACCTCCCCACAGCTGGCGTTCTTATCCAGGTGAACATGATGCTTGCTTTCCCGTTCCCCTTGCAAAGGTCAGGAGCCGGATGAAGCACAGGCCTGGCCAGCTTCGTCTTTCTAGTCTACGGCAAGGGTGGGAACAGACAGCAAACCTGTCCAGAGCATGGGGTGAGGTCAGGCGGGGAGGCTGCTTCAGAGAGGACCAGACATAGTACACATTTCACATAGCCCACGTGGTCTCACGGAGATGTGAAGAACAATGGCTTTACATTTCATCTTTAGAAATTATCCCAGCTTAAAAAATATCATCACAACTTATACAATCATGCACACAAGGCAACTTTGTGTGTGTGGGGGGGGGCAAAAACGCAGAAAAAGATCTTTTGACTTTAGTATGCATAGGTTTGAAGGAGCTTCACAAAGGAGCTCTGTAATGCTTATGTTTTCCTTCAGCCACAGTCTTCACACGGTTTTATTTGGAGGTTTTTGTCATGGCCCTGTTTCTGGAAGTGGTAAGTGCTGGGCTCCAAGGGGTCTTGGCTGGAACAAATGATTCAGTGGTTCAGTGTCCCAAATGGGTGAGCTACTTTCAGGCCTATACTAATGGTGCTTAGTTGTGGGGCTCCATCCTCCCCACAGGGCATCTCCCCAGTCCTGGCTTCACGGTCTTGGCATTTGCTCCATGTTTCCTTGTTAACCTGAAGCTATGCTGTAAGGATTTCCAGCCTGGTAGGAATGGGGGGTGTTTAGGGTTTGAATGTAGGGGATATGCATAAGCACTTGGGTACATGAAACTTAGGCAAAGATAACTCTTCTCTTAGACACATTTCCCAGAACCCCTGGAGATGGTGAAAGCTATATAGAGATATTCATGAAGAGCCAAGATATAAGGACATAGCCTCTCTCACAAATTATAGGGTATCTGAGGACAAAGTACCAAAAGTAACAGTGAGAGGACATTGAAAAAAACATGCTCTTACCGTAGTATGTAAGATACTCAGCTGTGTGTAAAAAGGTCAACGAAACCAGGACGTTGAAAATCCAGTTTATTCCAGCTGAGCATGCATTTCCTGTACTTCTTGCCCAGAGAGGATAGATTTCAGAGTTCACTGTCCAGGGCATTGGTCCCATTCCTGAGAAGTAAATAATTAAAACTACAGTCAAGCTCCCCTGTGGAATGAATTATAGTAGCCTGCCTCTTCTAAGAGGGGGCAATGCAGTGCAAAAGTAGCAAAGCAGCTACTCACCAGGTGCAAAGAAAATGAGATATAACACCAGACCCAGGAGTGCCGTCCAGGAGTACGGGGTGGGGCAGAAACTGTAGGCCCAGTGGATGTCTTCTGTTTTGAACTTGGTTTCATTTTCACACCTGAAAAACATGTATTAATGCAGTGTTTTAGGGGGTAGCTGTAGAAATTCATGTGATTGTGTTGGATGTATTTGGAAATTTCTCCATCTCCTAAGGGGGGAAAAGATAAAAACATTTTTTTTCTTAGAAATTTGAGATCTCGTGTCATGAACATATGCAAATAAAGACATTAAACTGAGAACAAAATGTATAGTGTAGATATTAATGCACACACACTTAGAGCTCAATACAATTTCAGAGTGGCCGAGCAATTCCTTTTTTACTCAGATGGCATCAAGGAGACCTGATTTTTAACTTGAAGCTGCACTAGACAGAGCATCAGTCAGTACATTGTGGTGGGAAGGGTATCTATGCAGTCACGAGTAGCTAAGAGGGCAGGAATCTTCAGGACCATGCTCCTGTGACACCCACCTTCAAAGCCTCCTTTATTTTTCAGCTAAAACTTAGTAGTGCAAGGTGACATGCCCAGAGGCATTTCTGTCCATCAGTTTAATCTTTCACATACTCACTCCATGACTTTGAGCTAAGCACACCTCCTCTAAATGTGTCTAATATATTTTCATTTAAAGTTATGCCCTTACACTAAGCGTGCACTGTACTATCTAATGAGGATGACTATGCATAGGCTCCCTAAACTTGTGCATTCTGAGCTTAAGGAGAGCATCACTTTGGCTTTGGAAATCATTCACCTGCTCCAATGCCATTTGGTGATACTCTTTCTCCCTGGTTTCATGTCTAGACTCAGCTTATTTTGGCTTTGCCCTCACCAAGATGCCAACCTACTGCGTTCAGTTACACAGTCAGATCCTGATGCTGCTTTCAGAAGCAGAGTTCCATCATCTGTAAAATGTGGGTGAAACCATAGAGAAGATTTTCAGGCTCATCTAGATGAAGGATGATCGTAACTGATTGCAAATGGCCACCTGCCCTCCTGTCCTATGTTCTTGCTTCTCATCATCCACTACTGGTGAGCTTGTCTCCTTCCATGTTCAACAACGAAGCAATGTGTCTTTGACTCAGGCTGTCAAATTGAGCTTAATTCTTTTTACATCCTCAATTGTCCCTATAGATACAACCAATCTGAAAAATATCCAGATCTCACCACCTAGGAGATGGCAAAGCTGTGAGACCATGCTGCTGGGCCCCTACGAGTCCATGCTACCTCCGGTTTCTAAGCATGCTCACTGGATGCCCCATTTTCTTCTCTGCTGAATTATCTACTTATTTCAGAGGTGTTCAATAAACTTCTGTCAACTAAAGACTCAACTAACTCTACTACTCTCTTCTAGTCCTGAAAATTCCCCCTCCAGGTCTCCTTATTTATTTCACTTTCCATGAAAGTTCTCTTTAATTGGAGGCAAGTGCCTGTGGTCACATGGGGTACCACTCACCCTTCCTAGGGACTTCAGGGGTTCTGTACTCCCCCATGCCCCATATGCTTCCTCGGGATTGTATTCCATCAGTCATCTCTTCCTGCCATCTTCAGCTTCTTCCGACTGGAGCCTTCCCTGCTGACTTTCACTCACAAGATCTCTGCCATTCAAATGGCCACACCCTCTCATGTTAGTGCTGCTAGACTCCAAAATCAGGAGTGCTTAGGCCCTGGAGCACTACATCCTCCACTAGGATGCAGCTGACTTTTGTGGCCTCTGTTTTCTTCATAAAGCTTCTGGTGTGGTGGCATTAATCTTAGCAACTAAACTTCATGTTCTCTCTAACAACAAACAAACAAACAAAAATATAAAAACAAAGCACAACCATGGGCCCCTATCTCTAACCAATAAGCTATCTTCAATTGGCATCCACTTATAAAGGAAAAATTAGTTTTCTCCAGTGGAGTCTCATTGGGTGTATAGACCATGCTTACAGGTAGGCCCCATGCCCAGCAGTAGACAACCAACACAAAAAGAACCCAATGGTATTTTTGTAAATTTTTTGTCTCATATTGCTTTGTTTTTATGGTTTTTTTTACCTTCTTGTTCTTTTGCTTGTATATTATGGTTTCTGATCTTGTGTTCTTATGGGTGTTTTATTTGGTGTCTATGTGCACTTATTGTGTCTGTGTGTTTCATTCTCACTTTTTGAAATTTGCCTGTTTGTGTATTTTCTGAAAAGAGAGAGAGAAAGAAAGGGCATGGAGTTGAGTGGGTGAGGAGGTGGGAAGGATCTGGGAGGAGTTCAGGAAGGGGAAACCATGATCAGAATATATTAAATGGAAATTTTTTTTCAATAAAAAAGAAACAAAAACAAAACAAGAAACACAAACCCCAACAAAAACATATACACACAAAAATGAAAATCAGAATAAATAAGCAATGACTAATGTCTTAGTTGCTGCTCTACTGTTGTGAAGAGATACCATGACCAAAGCAACCCTTATAAAATAAAGCATTTTATTTGGGGCTTGCTTACAATCTTAAGAGGGTTAGTCCATGATCATCATGGTGGGAAGCAGACAGGAGTGGTGCTGGAGCAGTAGCCGAGAGCTTTACATCCTGATCCACAGACAGCAAGCAGAGAGAGACATGGACGCTGGGCCTGACATGGGCTTTGAAACTTCAAAGCCCACCCCCAGTGGTACACCTCCTCCTAGTCCAAAGAGGCTACACCTAACCCTTCCCAACAGTTCTACTAACTGGGGACCAGACATTCAAGCACTCCCTGGCTCCCATAGGCTTGTAGTCATACCACAAGGCAAACACTGCATTCAGTCCCATGTCAAAAAAACCTCCATCATCCTTTAATCTTTTTTTTTTTTGGTTTTTCAAGACAGGGTTTCTCTGTATAGCTTTGCGCCTTTCCTGGAACTCACTTGGTAGCCCAGGCTGGCCTCGAACTCACAGAGATCCGCCTGGCTCTGCCTCCTGAGTGCTGGGACTAAAGGCGTGCGCCACCACCGCCCGGCCCATCCTTTAATCTTAACACTGTTTAAAAGTCCCAAGTCTCTTCTGAGACTTGTGGCAATCTCTTAGCTGTAACCCTCTGTAAAATCAGAGCCAAAAAAACAGATTATGCCGGGCGGTGGTGGCGCACGCCTTTAATCCCAGCACTCGGGAGGCAGAGGCAGGTGGATCTTTGTGAGTTCGAGGCCAGCCTGGTCTACAGAGTGAGATCCAGGAAAAGGCGCAAAGCTACACAGAGAAACCCTGTCTCAAAAAAAAAAAAAAAAAAAATCAGATTACATACTTTCAGTGTACAATGTCACAAAATATACACCAACATTCCAACATTCCAAAAGGGTGGAAAGGGAGCACAGTGAGGAAATGCTGGTCCAAAGGGACCATAGTGAGGAAATACTGGTCCAAGGCAAACTCCACAATCTGCATCTCCAATATCCTATGTCAAAGAGCTATTCAGATCTCCAATACCCCTTCCAGCTTTGTTGACTGCAACATAATTTTCTCTCTCTTGGGCTGGTTCCACACCCTATCTGGCAGGTAACCCAAGGCTCTGGCATCTCCAATGTCTTGGACTCTCCAACACAATCCAGTGTTTACTTTCACAGTTTCATACAATGGCTTCTTTAGGTCTACATGCTGGGATAGCTTCTGCCTTGTGCCTGGCCTCAGCAGCTTTCCATAACCAGAAGGAAGAAATTCACAGCCCATTTCTTGTATCCTTCTTGACTCTAAATCCAAAACCATATGGCCAGAGCTGCCAAATTCTACTGCTTGCTGGGGCTGGACACTGGCTGTCTTCTCCAATTACATTTTCATAAGCTTTCTGTTCTTGTTTAGGCCCAGGGAATCCCTCAGGCCTTTCCTTTCACAGGTTTCAGGATTAGCTCCTGGGACCTTGCCCTCTATCATTTCTTTCATTCCATCTAGCATCAGGCTTTTCTTTAAACTTCTCATCTCCTTGAGCACAAGACTGGACTCCAGTACTATGTTTTCTGGTGTTCCTTTTCTCCTCACACTGTACATTTTGTACTTCTTTTTGCCCTGCTTGCTCCTTTTCATTATTGATCTGCGTAAGAGTGATTACTAATAACCATGTGACATAGTCAATACTAGGCTGTCCTGAAATCCTCTCTGTCAATGGCAGTTATTCAAAACTCTTCAATTTAGCCTCAGGCAGATTTTTCAGCCAAGGGCAAAAAGCAGCCACATTCTTTGCCAAAACATCACAAGAATGGTCTACAGGCTACGTGCTAATATTTCCCCTCTGAAACATCTTGAGCAGAATCTGCATATTTCAAACCACCCTTAGCATTATTGTCTTCCAGGGTCCTACTAGAGTGGCTCATCAAGCCACACTTAAAGCTTTCAACTGCTTTTCTAATTCAGAGTCCCAAAGGCTTCCATATTCTTCCACACAATAACATGGTCAGGTCTGTCACAGCAATACCCCCATCCCTTGTACCAATTTCTGTCTTAGTTACTGTTCTATTACTGTGAAGAGACACCGTGATCAAGGCAATGCCTTATGAAGGAAAGGATCACCATGGCAGGAAGCAGACAGGCATTCCACTGGAGCAGTAGCTGAAAGCTTTACATTCTTATTTGCAGCCAGCAGGCAAAGAGAGAGAGAGTGGCTGAACATGGCATGGGCTTTTGAAACCTCAAAGTCCACTCCATGACATACTTCCTCCAACAAGGCCACACCTTCTAATCCCTCACAAACACAATTGAGTACCAAGCATTCAAACATATGAGCCAAAGATGGGAGCTGTTCTTATTCAAACCACCCCAACCAGTAAGACAAAAAAATTGCCCAAACAAAGCAAAATGAAACTAAATTCTGCAAAAATACCACCGAGTCTGGTTTTTGTTGGCTAATTAATCCCAGGCATGGTACCTACCCTGAAGTGTGGTTGATGTACCTACAGAGAATCCATTGGAGAAAACTGACTTTCCCTTTGTCAAAAGGTATCAATTACAAACACCTTCCTGGTTAGGGTGGTAGCCCACGTCCAGTTCCCCCTCTCATTGCTGGGCTGTGTCTGGCTTGAGTCTGTGGGGACTGGGTCAGGCCTGATCTGTACATGGCTCGTCTGTGTG